TTTCTTATTTTCATACACGCATGTTTTGTTACTTCGCTGTCTTTGCTTGCGAAAGGAGATCACTGCAAGGTTCAGGTTCAGACGCAAAGGCGGACACCGCGTGTCCGGCAAACATCGCATAGCAGGTTTGCAAAACCCACCCAACCCACCCAGGGAACAAAGCAACAGCCCGCATGGCTGCATTGCCAAGGAAATCCTAACTCTAGCGGACCGCCTATCCTCCAAGTTCAGTGTCACCAACTCCGAGCACGCACTGATCAAGACCGCATGAACTGCTCTTCCGTACTTAGCGTCCGTTTCATACTGCCAAGCACGCATCGCAGTCCGGAGCAACACCCGACGAACAAAAGTGCGCTTGCAGTGTATCATTGCAGTGCTGCACTCCGCGTCGCTTTAGCTAAGAAGTGACTAGCCTGAACGGCAGAAGCCTCCACGCTTCTCGCGCAGGCTCGCGTGCCGGCGGAAGTGTCCAAGGCACTCGTTATGGCTCGCCTCACCGCCTTGTGCAAAGCAGAGGGGGGCGTGCGCGGCATCGCCACAAGTGATATGTTTCGTCGCTTGATTTCCAAGGCGCTCGCGAGGGAAGGGGCCGACAAATTCGACCAAGCCACGAGGCCGCGCTCCCTCCCGACGACAGCCTGGTTGCTTTCCTGGGCGACCTCTACGTTGTCACGATGCCGTCCAGTGCCAAAGCCGTCACGGTGCGGACAGTGGAAGGGAAAGAAGGCTGGCTGCAAAGGAACGCGCGGCTGCAATGGCCAGCAGCGCAGACCAGCGCGACGCGAAGGCGGCAGTGCATGCAGCCCGCTGTGCAGGGGAAGCGGCACGGGCCCGGCTGCGAGCAAGGAGTCGGACAAACCCAGCGGCATGAGGGCTCCAGCGCCCACCAACCTCAATGCCCAGCACGACACGCCGGCAGCAGCGACCGGAGGTAAGTTCCGGGTATGTCCGGGCCTTGGCACGTTCAGCGACACGCAGGTCTGCCCCTGCCGTGCGGCAACTACTTGAATCTGAGGTCGGAGACGACGCACACTGTCTCGCAAAGGCGGCGCACGCACGTCGCACGTTACAGGATCAAGGCTGGAGCAACTGCCCCGCGTGGAGCATGCTCCTCGAGGGCACTCGCCCCGCCACACCAGAGGCGCCAGGTGCCGGAGACTGGCCGCGTGGCTGGCAGTGCCACGCGTCGCGGACCCTTTCCGTACGCTTTCGCGATCGTGTCGTGCCCTCGCCGCCCAGTTCGCGCGCACTTCTTCGCGTTCTTTTTAGAGCAGGCCGGCCCAGGCGGCTTGACCGCATGACCCATGGCTCCGGAGTTCCGACTCCCAAACTTGCTTCCGAGTCGCCCTGCCGACGGCTGAGGTCCCCATCCGCTTGGCGGACATCCTGGCGCAGGCCCCGGAGGCCCCGCCCAGTAGGTTGGGGTTGCGGTGAGCGGTCCTTTCACGCCCCCCTCTCCCCGGCCCTATGACGGCATTGACCTAGCGGGCGGAAAAAGGAGCGAGGAAAACCCAAAAAAATGTGGCGTGGCAGTTAACAAGCCGCCGCTGGGGGTCCCCATTGGGCACGACGAGTACGTCAGGACGCAAGCGCGGGAACGACTGCGCGAGGCTCGGGAGTTCCTGCAGGCCGTGCCGCGTCTGCCCGACTTGCAGTGTGTGTGGTTGCTCCTGCTGTTCTGAGCTTCGCCGCGGGCGCAGTACCTCTTGCGAAACGTCCCGCCCGAGCTCGCCGCGGACTCCGCGTGCTCACACGATGATGAGGTTTGGCGCACCCTCCGCGAGCTTTTGGGCGGCCTCGATCCTGGGGACACCGCCAGTCACCAGCATGCCCGGGACATCGTTCTTGCCGGCGCGCTTGGGAGGCCTGGGCCTGTTCCCTGCAGAGCGCGTTGGGCTGCGTGGGCGGATGCGTTGCCCGTGTTGCAGCAGCGGCGCCCCGACGCCGCAGAGCGATGCTTGCAGGAACTCGCGGCCGGTGCGCGAGCAGGGGCGCCCTGCTTGCAGGCGGCGGCGGCGGCCGCGGCAGACGCCCTTGCCGCCCAGGGCTGTCCTTGGCTTAGTGCTATCCCCGCGCACCCAGCTGCCGAGCTCACACCGGATCTGATGCACCTCGCCCTGCGGCGCCGCCTCCGACTCCCCTTGCCGATTGCCCGCGCCTGCTGCGGAGGGGATGGCTTGCCAGGCTGCCGCGGGCGTTGATGCGTTGGGGGACCACTTCGCGGCTTGTCCGCGCACCGGTCATCACCGGTCTTTTAGCACGACGAGGCTTCGTGCAGGTCGCGCGCGAGGCTGTCGGCCCGGCAGGGCGGGTGGTACCGCAGCAGTGGCTTACCGATACAACTGCTGTGGGCGTGCGGCTGGATGACCGACAGCGCCTTGATCTCGTCATCTATGGCGCAACCATGCGCAACCCAGCGTGGCGAAGCCCTCTGCTGTGACGCGAGCGTCTCGGGCGGCATGGCAGACCCACCCGCGGCGCCGCTGACCGCGACGGTGCCGCACTAGAGGCCGCTGCACGACGCAAACATGCGCGCTACCCTGAACTTTCCCTCGGGGGGCCACAGCGCCTGTGCGTGTTGGCTGCCAAAGTCGGAGGGTGCTGGAACGACGAGTCCCAACGTGTGCTCAAGCAGCTCATCCGACTGAGCGCACGCCGAGCACCTGGCGTCCTTCGAGCGGCCGCCGGCCAAGGCTGGGCGCGCCGGAGGCCCGCTTCGCGGCAGACAGCGAGCCAGGCCACCTCGACGAGTTTCGCCCTCCTAGCCAGCAGCCCGATGCGCGTGCAAGCTAGAGCATGGTCGCCCCACGCGTCGAGCCTTCTGCCACATCCGTGGCCCGACTGACCGCATTCGTCCGGGCCCAGCGGCAAGAGCAGGCGGAGCCGTCGATGCAAAGCTATCAGCATCACGTCTGGCGGGAACCAGGCCGCCGCGGTGAGCAAGCTCCAGGGCCGGCAGCAGCACGCGTTCGCGAAGGTAGGTGGTGCGAGTACGCGACGCATGGAACTGCCAGCCGTGGGGCCAATCACCAGGACCTGCGTCCCCCGCCGGAGATGCGCCAGTCGTCACGGAAGGACCCCCAAGTGGGGCAGGTTGGGGCAGGCATGCCAACCTTCCGTTCGCAGCAGGTTGGCTGCGTCCTGAGCTGCGCGCAGGGCCGCGGGAAGGCATCTACGCATGTGCGCGCGAGGCCTGGCTGCCTGGCACTCCGGTGCCCCTGCGTGTCCGCCCACGCTCCCCAACACGCCGCCGGCGCCGTGCGAACAGCGGATTGCAAACCCAACCCTCCAAGCCCTGCGGGCAAAGTGAGGGGGTCGCCGCCGTCGCGTGCCTCAGCATACGGACGGATGATCTTGGGCGGGACATTGCGCAGAGCGTTTGGCACGCGTGCTCGCACACGTGAGCAGGAGGAGCCATGCACACGGGGCATCACTGGGTGCCGGATTTTTTGCATGTTTTTTCCGCAGCATGTCCTCGCGGTCGGGGGTCGGGGGGGACGGGCCTCACCGCCGCGGCGGCACGCGGCTTGCGGGCCGCATGAACGTGAATGAGAACAGGTTCAAGTTCCAGCGCTCCCCATCTGGGCGCTTGGCGATGGAGAGTGTAGCACCAGCTTGTCGCGTGTCAATGCTGAGGCCAGAGTCATGTCGCAGCACAATGTTTCGCCGAGCTGTGTGGCGCTGTAGGCCACGACGTCGAGCGATTCGTCCAGGTCAACGCCCGGCGCCGGCGTCCGAGCAAGCCACTGCAGCAGGACGACCTGGCCCTTTGACTGCCCGGATCCCGCATGTCCCAGCGGCTTGGGCGGGCGGACCGGTGCGCGCGGGCAGGCTGTCACTGTAGACAGTGTCAGTGGCGCCACAGCCGTGTCCTTGTGCCCCGCACCTGCCCGACGCAACAGGCAATGGCACGCGCAATCGCTGCATGCTGTCTGGTGTCAATGTCGTCCCCGACTGGCGAGGACAGCGCGCGGCCCGGACTGCGAACGCATATTGGGCTAACACAACCTTCATGGCCGCTCGGGGCTCCTCCCAAGCATGGCTAGAGTCTCACTCCTGAGGAACTTCAGCACACAGCCACGATTCTCAATCCCTGAGGCTGAACCGAGGGCAGGGGCCACAGGCACTGCAACCCACAAATGAGGAGATGGGGTCAAGGAGAAGCCCGCTGAGGTTTCAAATGGGAAACTCGCCTCAGCGAGCCATTGTCGGCCTAGCAATTCGCTGTTTACTGCGAGTAGGTTAGAAGGCTATTTGGTCAGCTTTTATTGGCTCAAATGGGTTTCATGAGATTTTGGTCTTGCGGCTGCATATGCCTGACGTCCTTACTTCATGAAGTATGTTCGCCCCTTGATCAAATGGCACATCATCTGCAACCGCCATTTCCAGAGCAGACTCGATTGCAACGCCATGTGTCGGGCGGGGACATCCTATGACTTTGCGGTTGTTGCTCCGGTGCCCGGAACCATCCTCAATCGCATTGATGCTGTTTACCGACGCCAGTTAGGACACGAACATGGCCGATGTGTGTTGTGTTTGAAGAAGACAATTAAGCTTCGCTGACTGCACTGCCGCGCGGGATTCAGGATTCGGAGTTTGCTAGCTTTGTTTGAAACTCGGTTGGTGCAGTGAACCGTTGAACCTCCCGGAACTTGGAATGGTTTCTGTTGCGGTATAGATTACAATCAACGAACAAACATTGAACAAACAAATCAATGATGCTGAGGGCGTGTTGGAGCTTTGTGGCTGCGACGTGCTGTTGCCGAGCGTGGATGCCGTCTCTGAGGCAAAGATTTGCTGCACTTGCTTGTGGATCCCATGCAATGCTTGTCTTCAGGGTTTGTAGGTGTGAACCTCTGCATGTGTGCATGTATGCAGCTTTTGCCTCGAGTTTAAAACGACGCCGAATGCATTTTCAACGTGACACTCGCAGCATTCGACCGACGTGGAGAGAGGTCGTTGATCTGGCACCCGAGTGGAGAGTGTGAAAAACAAGCGCCATGGCGGCTGGATCATTCCGCGCATGCTGGATAGATAAGGAAGGGGCCAGCCTACAAATGGAACTGAAACAGGTTCCGTTCGAGGAGCTGTCAACAGGCGAGGAGTACATCCGTGTCAAAGTCGAGTTTTCCGGCGTCAACTACAAAGATGGCATGGCAATCTGTGGCATTTATGGCGTTGTCGAAAAGCTGCCCCTCATTACAGGCATTGATTTTGTGGGAGTTGTTGATGAGACAAAGGCTGGGTTTCAGAAGGGAGACCGCGTGATTATGACCGGGTATGACACTTGGATGTTTTTGAGGCCCTGCCACCTCGATAAATTCTCAATTTTTTCAAACTCAAAAATGAAAGTTGACCGAGGAAATGGGTCAAAAGTTCCACGGTGGTCATGCCGAATACGCTTCAGTCAAAGCTGCATGGTTGGTTCCGCTGCCAGAGACCCTGGCCCCGATTGATGCAATGACCATTGGCACCTCGGCTCAGCATATGTCCGCGGGGTTCGGGGAGGGATAGTCGGAGCATGTCGGCATTGCAGTGTGGCCGAAAAATAAGGCGAGTGTTGCGTGCTGTGTCCCGATAGGAACTGCCGGCTTCACGGCGGCCTTGTGCATAAAGGCTGGCAAGGGCTCATGGCAAAACATGACGTGCCAGGAAAACGATGAAGGTGTTACATGGGGTGAAAACCAGCGCCTTTGTCATGATGTGATGGTTCTTGCATGTTTTTACAACGACTGCCAGTGCTCCTGAGCACGCTGAACAGTCATGCTCATTCGTTTGTTTCTACACACGCAGGCTTTAGAAGACAGCGGGTTCGACAAGACGAATCTTTGGTCGGCAAGACCCAAGGTCCCCCCCCACTCCCCACCCCCTTGCCCGGCCCAAAATTGGGGTTATGGAGGGGTAGTGCTGGAGCTTGAGGGGTCATTCTTCGCTGCGGGCCTGTGTTTCACGTGTTTGTCATTTTGGAGCTGCATGGTTTGGGGTTCCCCATGGCCTGCGAAATTTGTTGCCCTGCAGTATGGCTGGTCTGCAAAAACCACATCTATCGCCAACTTTATGCGCGCCCAACAGTGTATGCATGCAGCAAAGCACGGAGCCTGTCAAGGCAGGCACGTTCTCTCTTTGTATGGTTGGGTCGTGGCACTATTTTGGACTGGCTGGTCATCAGGCCAAGGTATGAAATGCTTGCAGGGCCAGGAGGTTGTCGTGCGCTCAGGATTTTTTGTGTGACCACAGGAAGCCCATTCTCGTCACTGGCGCTGATGGCGGCGTGGGCAGCGTGGCAGTGTACCTGCTGGCTCAGAAAGGCCGGCGGGCGGCTAAGGGCAGCTTGATACCTGCTCTACAATTATACCAAATGCGTCAAAAGTAGCAGCTGCTTCGTGTGCACCTAAGCCTTGAGATTGCCGTTGCCAAAATGAGTCCCACCCGGTCTCGCCGAGGCTGTAAAGTGGCGGCTTGCACTCGCTGGAAGGATACCGAAGCACGGCTTCGGAAACTAGGCGCCCAAACTCTTGAACAAGTTGTTACTGTTGATTTGGGTTGTCCCGCGAAAAGTTTTTGCCCGGGCAAAGCTTGCATGGAGCAGCAGATCTTCGGATTTCAGAACCGTCACCGACATAGCAAGTGTGGCAGTTGAAGGCCTTGGCCAGTCTCGAATTGCGGGATTTTGCGGTCGAGTTTAAGTGAACGCGTTGTGTGTCTCACCGAGGTGCAACGGAGATCGTTCCAGCTCTCAGTACTGACAGCATCCCGGCTCAGTACCGACAGTTGACAACCTTGGATTCACTGCCGGGTCGTCAGCTTGATTGCATTCCGCGTGAAGACCTAAGCCCTCCGGTCTTAAGTGCAGAGTCCTCGAGATGTAATTTGCATTTTGCTTCTGGAGTTTCCTTCCGGGTACAGTGCGAGAAAACCACTGAATGGCACTCGAATAGCATGGCTAACAGGACCTCCCCAGTGCCTATGTATCCTAAGCCCGAAATCATTTGAAACCGCCGGAACCCAATGCCCTGACCCAGGCAAAGCTCTTGATGAGCAGAAGTGGGGCGGGGCGATTGATGCGGCCGACTATGAATTGGCTTCAGGGCCAGGTAGGGGTGTAGAGAGACAACATTTCGCCTTTCTGGAGCTTGGTGACACTGGTTCATGGTGTGTCATTCTCAATCCAGCATTTGTTGCGGGATTTTATCAGCCTATCCTGGGATAGCTGAGGTGGTTGGCGGCCCCACAATCCCAACCATTTGTTCGCAGATGGCCTATGGCTGCACCCTTGCGACTTGTGGAGTCGCTGGCGGGCCTGCGATCAAGACCACTGTTTACCCATTCATCATCCGTGGCGCCGAGGCTTTGAACAAAGGAGTGGTGGTCTGATGGGGAAACTCCTGCTTTACAAGCAAGACCCCGATAAGTCTGAATCCATCTCAATCTCCAAGCCACATGCTGTGACAGTGGCTTGGAAGCCAATTCCAGAGCACCCAGGTGTGAAGCTCTACGGCGTGGACTCGGTTTTCGCCTCCACCGAGGATCGCAAGCTCGTGTGGTCCGACCTGGCAAAGGTTCCACCAGAGGCCGTCAGACTCAGTCACAAAGGGCATGTGAAGGGTTTGAAGGGATGGAGCCCTGAAGACAACGACTGGGATTGGCATCGCTCGAGGGCGCTTGCCCATGAACAACTTGGCAGATCAACGCGGTGGTTGCTATCGCCAAATCAAAGGTCTGACGAAAACATGCACTTGTTTCCCTTGAGGTGCTGTCTGTTGCAGGTGTGGCGGGAGATGCGCAAAGAGGTGGCGATGGACGACCTTCAAGAGGCAGCGGAGTCCTGTGAAGTGCTGCTCTTGAATTCTCAACCCGCGGCCATGTTCCAACCCGCCGACAAGTCAAAGGGCTGTTACCACCTCAATAAGGCCGAAGCCTCAAGGCCTTTTAAAAGAGTGCCCACTGCGAGTGTCGGGATTTCGCAGGTTTACGTTCGAGGCTTTGCACTTTGCAAGCAACAGTTTCAGCACCAGGGCACACACATGAGAATCAACCTTGAAGGTGGCCACGCAGATCCTGGCTGGGAAGATTCGTGGGCGCGTAGTGGTGACCCTGGTTCTGCATCTGAACACCTTTATAACCAGCACCCAAAGACAAGAACGCTGAACAAGCCTTAAGCCTTAGGCCTGAGAACGCGTCTCGCATTACAGCTTGTTGCCAAAAAATCGCAAGTAAAAGAGGGTTGAGAAGGAAATGCCAGATCCGCTATAGCTGGTTAGGATGCTCGGCCCTCACCCGAGCGACCCCCGTCCCGGTGGCGGAAGTTTTTGACCGCCGAGCTGTTTGTCTTTCGCTTTGTCTCTTTCGCTGATTTGTTGTTCCTTTCTTAACACGAAAGAAAAGAAGACATGTTGTGCTTCTCATGTCATACAAGCCTTGCACACAAGTGCCGGATTGGAACCCACGACCTCCCGCTTACTGAGCGGGTGCTCTCCCAGCTAAAGAGGCTAGTGCTGGCCCAGTCATGCATGCTCCTTCTATTGGTGGGGCGTGCAGAACCTGGTATAAATGAAGCAACATGTGTCAACAAGGGACAAGTCGGAGGTTGCTGGTTAGAAGCCATCTTCTTGTTCTTGTCATGTTAAAACCACATCTTATAAAGTGCATGAGACTCTGGAAAAAAGTTATCTTGGGACAGTTTTTGAGACCTCGAACATCACCATGCAATAGCCCGGCCCCGTGCTTGGCGGCTTGGCCATGCTTCGCATCACGCTGCTTTCCGGGGAAGAGCTGGCGAGCCTTCCTTTGACGGAGCTGAGCGATGTGAAGGCCTTGAAGCAGCGACTGCATCAGCAGCACGGCCTGCCGCCACGCTTCAGGCAAAGGCTTTTTCATGATGGAAGTCTTTTGGATGATGACTTCCAGCTGGACACAGCGATGGATCTGCAGGCTGTGACAACGGCGTTGAACGCAACTTCGGAGGAGTGCCCAGAGCTGTGCGAGGCGGCAGCTTCTGGCCGAGTGGCTCAGGCAGGGTGTCCGCTGCTGACAGCCGAGCAACGACCTCTCCTGAAAAAAACCTCAAGCCTTAAGCTCGCGAATGAAGCAAAACACAACTACTAAGCCTGGGAACCCTTCTGCTGAGCATCCTCCCGAAGCAGCCCTCAGGTTGAAGCTCTGCTGCAGCTCCCCATGAACCCGGATGCTCCAGATGAGGAGGGCAGTACGCCATTGATGAGGGCGTCGAAGAACGGCCGCGTGGATATCGCACAATTGCTCCTGGAAGCCGGTGCTGAGAAGGATTTGTGCGACCAAGGCGGTTTTACAGCGCTGATATATGCAGCTCTCCGCGGACACGCTCAAGTCGTACAGTTGCTGCTGTTGGAAGGCGCTCAGAAGGATGTTGCTGATTATCGGGGCAGTACAGCGCTGATGCAGGCAGCATACAACGGTCATTCTTCGGCCGTGCGGTTGCTGCTTCAGGCCGGTGCCCAAGTGGATGCGCGTGACAATGGGGGCGACACGGCGCTGATGGATGCAACTCGTGGCGGTCATGCCGCAATCGTTCGGTTGCTCCTGGAGGCCGGCGCCGACAAGGATTTGTGCAACAACGAGGGACGTACGGCGCTGATGATGGCAACGGCACCCGAAATCCAACGATTGCTGGAGGCCGGTGCATAACATGACCTTAGGCAGCGGCTGCAGAGCTGCAATATGGTTGGACAAGTTGAGGGAGTATCTTGACGGTTGAGGGGTAGCTAGCAGTTATATGTAATCCGAGCTCCTGTTTAATTGGGGGGGGGGGCCCCCCCCCCCCCACAATAAGGAAGGCAGGGTTCCGCAATAGTTGGACCATGGCCCCGTCAGATTCCAGAAAACCGAAGCCCCGGCTTCCTTAAAGTTTTTCCTTTTAAGAACTTTTAAGCTTTAAGGCTTCTTTAAAGACTACAGGACCGGGGCTCCCCACGGGCCAGGGCCTCCCATAATTCTGGCCCCGTTCTATTAATGTGACTCCGCCTTTCCCGGCCAGAGCCCGTAAGGGGTAGCTCAGGAAAGAATGAAATTTTCTGTCCTCCAGTAAGCAATCACATAAGAAATCCTTGCTTTCTGAAGGCCCTCAGCTTCCAGAAAACCGAAGCCCCGGCTTAGCAGATGTTTCACATCGACCCAAACATCCCTGCAGAAGAAAAAAGCTTTCCGAAAGGCAGAGTTTCAAAATTTGACAACCCCCCCAAAAGCAATTTCGTTTGGCCCACACGAAATCCATCGTAATGGAAAGTAGTCTTCCGGCGGGAATCCGGGCAAAAAAAATTTCTTTAATTTTGGGGGGTTTAATTAAACAGGAGCTCGGATTAGAATTCGAACTAGTGTAGTTAAGTCATTGGGCATGTTTAGCTACAGGTGTAGTTTGGTTGCTCGAGGTGTAGCTACTTGCTGAGTCCGTTGAGCGTTTAATGAATTCTGAAAGCAAAGTGTAACTCTAAGCCCAAAACCCTGGATGAACCGACAAGTAAGGCGGAGGCTGCCTGTCAGAAGCTCTGAACCCCCTGAACCTGAGTCGCTGCCACACCTTTACATCCCCGTGCTTGAATGGTTTTTTCTCGACTTCTCTTTTGGATCCTGGGCTCGTGCGGCTCGGGATTGGAAAAAGCCTCAAACCCTAAGCCCATTTTCTGTCCCTGCCCCGGTGCAGGGTTGGAGAACGGCTCGTGTCCCACATGAGCTCACGTTCGACGAGCTCCAAACCCAATTCCAACGGTACAAGGCCGGCAGTATCTCTGATGAGTACGTGCTGCAAACGTGGGGCGAAGCGACGCTGGAGCTCATGCAAGCGCAGTTGATGGTCGAGACAGCTGAGACGGTGATGGTGAAGCCCGATGCGACACTTCGCCAAGAGTGAGATTCTTCTGAGCGGCTGAGAGTAGCTCCACCGGTGCCTGCCGGGCTGCGCTTCTGCTTACGTAGCTTTTAAAGAGGGGCCGACTTAAGGCTCCTTCCTTTCACAGCACCTCTTCCGTCGGAATCTCACCGTGGGCGGCCACGTAGAAAAGGAGAAGAAGGAGAGAGGTACTGGGCTGCAGTCGTATCGGAGTTGTACGGATTAACGCCAAGCCAGCCTAGAACCCCAACCCCTCAAGCGCATTGACGACTTGAACTTGTACGTTGCCGGAGGCTTCCGGTTGTCAGGATGGCGGTCGTCTGATTTCTACCGATCCAAGGCCGAAGAATTGAAATAGCACAATGGAGAGCGCAACCTCACGAATGGCGTGCTTGAAGTTGCAGAAGGCTGCGCTACGGGAACGGGTTGCCCAAAAAGACTGGCGGCGAACTGCTTGAAGAATGCTCCAGAAAGGGTGTTCCGAACCTCGCATGCTTAGACGAAATTGTCCAAACAAGGCAGAGTTTGTCTCGGGGAATTCCGCTGTCTGCTTCTAGGCGTTCAGGACATGGGCTCATGGCTTGTGCGTGTGGGCGTGTGGGCGCGTGGGCGCGTGGGCGGGGGCGGCATGTGGGCGTGTGCATGTGGGCGTGTGCGTGTCGGTGTGGGTGTGTGCGTGCGTGTGCGTGTGCGTGTGCGTGTGCGTGTGCGTGTCCGTGTAGGTGCTTTCTGGGACCGAATTCGATCCTGATGCATTGGGCTCCTGCAGTCACAGTCCATGCCTGACCAGTTTGCAGCCTGAGCGCTTGCACGAAGCCCCAAGCGCCAATGCATAACATCGAAAACTGCAAACGAAACCTTCAATCCTAGGCCTCCTTAACCCCAGAACTTCCATTCTGTTTGTTCAAGCTTGGTGGGTTTCTTCGGGCTTGCGCTGGCAGGTGGTCCCAGAGGTGAGAGTCCAAACCTTACTGTGCGGGGAAGTAGGGTCCCAACGCTCAGGAACATGGGCCTGAAGGGTCCCCAGCTGCCGAAGGCGCAGGCCGAGACTCAGCAGACGACAATGTGTAGCAGCGGAAGTCCTGCTGAACGTTCTTGGTAGTTTTGGCACCTTGCAGCAACTTGTTCGTGGATGTAGGAAGGAGACCTGCGGCTACAGGGTTTAAGGTTAAGGAGGGCCAATGCCATTCTTGCAATGCGTAAGGAAGAGGAAGATTTGGAGGCCTTGAGGCAGCAATGCCTGGCCTTGCGCAAATCCCTCACTACCAGCTCGAAGGCAGGGTGCCAGTTGTTGAATGTTAGCTTCCTCACATCCACGCACACGGCAAGAGAATCTGTGATGTTCGTATATTCTGACAATGCTCCATGTTAAGCCTAACTGTATAAGCCCTCCGCCATCCCAAGCCTGTTTGCACGCTCGGAAGAACTAGCTTTTCGGGCATTTGGATGGAGCGGTTTGTTTTTTTGCAGCTGGTTGGTACGGCAAGGGCTCGCACGGGAGTCGTTGAAGGGGCTTGTCACCGAGGTTGTCACGGCGGATCAGGCCATGAGCCCCATGCCTGCAAACAGCCTGCAAGTGGCACACCACTTCTCTTCTGCTGCTGGGCACCCTGGAATCAAGCCGTTTGAGGATTTCTGCTGGCAACCTAGGCACGATCATGGATGGCGACTGCCTGACCCTTTCCGGGTGCTTTGTTTGAACAACTGCCACGACTTGTGTGCGCATGTGTGCGCGACAGCTGTCGGATGATCGAACTTGATACGCTTGATGTAGTCGCGGCCCGCAAGCTCGAATCCCAAGCCCTAGACGAAACGAATCTAGCAGCACTCAGCCGAGCGGGCCTAGAGCGTGCCCGCAGGTTTGTTGCCACCATGCCGTGTGACGCCCTCAGCGCTGCCCTGCGCAAGCGCTTCGACAAAACGAAGCACCCGCGTGTCCCTCGGGCAGCAGCTTCAGGTTGCATTGTGCATGGCAGGGAGTTGCTGTTAAGGTGAGGTCTGGGGGCTTCAGCTAGTATGGGCAAGGCTCGCGTGTCTCCGTAGCCTGAACAACCGCTTGCCCTGCCGCCGCTTTTCGCAACCCCAGACCCAAACTGCCCAAACTCAGCGTCCAGTCCCTACCCCCGAACCCCTGGCCCCATGATGGGTGGGTGCCAATCGAAACTCGGTTGCCAGAAGCCAACAGAGAGGACTTGGAGATGGTGTTCTCCATCATTGTGGGTGACCGCGAGGGGAAGGGCACAGACCTGCTCACACCCTTGGTCCGCAAGGCTTGGGCTTAGGGGCCAGTTTAAGGCGTTCGGGGACGGTTTTGGCCAGACTGTCAGACTTCAACTCCACCCCGTTGAGAGGCAACCTTCGGATGGACGGATGTGTGTCCAGCCTTCACCAACGCAGTGCTGTCCGGCAAAATCCAAGGCTACAATCTGCCCATGGGCCCTGCACTCAGAAAGAAGTTCCCGAGCCTTCAACAGTCCGCGTCGTGTTTTGCGTGGCCAAAGCCAATGACAATGATGAGATAATGCGCACTGGCATACTGCATCGCAATTTAATGTGCGCTCGGCAAGCGGCATGTCGCAGAAATGTAAACATCAAGTTTGAGCTGCACATTGCTGACCCTTGAGCTTCAGCCAAGGTCAGGTCTCACACATGATCCGCTCTTCCGCCAACCAGGTGCCTCGTCTTGTCTTAACCCACGAACTAGTGTCAACTGCCGTCAATCTGAACTGCCCTGACAAGCCACACAACAAAAAGTGTTCCGACACCAAGTCAATGGTTTCACGTGACTGACACACTGCAGCCACTATGTACAGTGCCGAGCAAAACTCTGCACCTTCGGCCGAAGCAGGCAAACCTCGCCGCTGCCAATCTGCCCTCATGGTCCGTGACCCTCTCAAGTCGAGCAATGTCCAGCACATTCCAGCACCAAGCCGAGGTGCCCGGCCATCTCAGCAAAGTTGGGCTCCACACCTTCGCAGACCCCCGGAATGGGGGCGGGAAGCGGAACAAGCAGACCACGGAGGACGCGGCGGGTTTGGGTGTGGTTAGAAGACAAGCAAACAAGCCTCAAGACTATGCGGCGAGCTGTCATGGCTGCGCAGGATCTGGTCAAGATTGTGGAGATGGGTTCCGAGGAATATATCTTCTACCCCGCCCCCAAGCACCTCGGCTGGTCTGACGGCGGAGCTGCGAAATCGAAGAACAAGCCGTACGTGTGACACATCAAAGCCCAAGAGCCCTTTCTATTCCTGGATCTTGCAACATGGGCCAGACATACGCCAGAACTCCGACCAGATAAGAACCAATGTTAAAGCTGTTAAGTTCTGCAAAACTTTTTAGCTGCTCATACGCTGCTGCCTGCCTCTGTTCCTTCTGGCAAGCAGTGCTGATAGCGCTGCTGCTGGCGAGATTTGCAGTGCTGCTATCCTCGATGCCGCTAACCCCGACTGCTGCTGTCTTAGTGGTATTCCTCATTTCGCGCACATCGTTTTAGTGTATGCAGCTCCTGACACCAAGAGCTGGACATCCAGGATCACTGTGGCTTTGCTCCGCGGCTCCGTTGCAGACGAGGCCGGCAACGTGTCTTTCGAACGAGAGCCCTTGTGCCCTAGTTGCCATTGGCACGGAACAGTGGTGCGATTTGGGATTTCAAGCCTCTTCCCAGCTTCTCCCTCTCCCTCTCCCTCTCCCGCCTCTCTCTTCTTCCTTCCCTCTTGCGAATACGTCCTGGGCTCACACCCCAAGTCCTCCTATCGCTCCAAGTCATGATCAGCTCCTAAACCTTGCGACCTACCCCACACACACGTCGAGCCAGCCGAGCCCCAAGCCGCCTGAGACCAGCTGTGCAATTTTAGAATACTAATTGTGTGTGTGTGTGTGCCTGATTTCGTCTTATTGGGTTGAAGAGGTTTAAGAGGATCTTAAGGAAGCAATTTTTCGATCCTAGAAGCCTTCCAGCCCAAAACATCACCCAAAACCCCAAAAAGCTCGCTGAGGTACCTGGACTCACTCAACCAAGCCATGGCTGCAAAGAACAACGGCGGCCTCGTGGCTCGGCTCCTCCATTGAAAGGGCTTTGGGCTCACAGAGTTGAGGGAGTGAGCATGTGTGATAACGAAATATTTTGCAAGTGCCCACCCAAACTCCTATAGCTCCCAACAAAGTTTCGATGCAGCCCTAGTTGGGGTGGGCCCCCCAGCAGGCCAGCATCTTCCTCGCACGAGAAAGTGGGTGCAGTCGCACCGAGTTCCCACTGCGTTATGTGACCAACAAATCATCTCCTTACAGGAACGGGCGCAGGCGACCCGAGTCGCAGCGCATTCAGGCGTGCAGCCGCCACACAATCTGGCGAATTTCTTCCTTAGGAGCAGCCTGCTGCCCAAGTCGGGCGCGTCTTGCTCGGAGTTCTTGTGCAACGAAGCAAGTTGATAGCGGAGTAACTAACCAACCGTCAGGTTGAACAACAGGGGTGTGGTGAGGGGGTCCAGCTGGTTGTAATTGGGGGCTATAGGATTTTCAGGTCTGATGGTACCTTGTCTGCAGATGCTCTTGAGGTTGGGCACTCCAGGAGAGCCACGAGTTCTCTGATATGGGGGCACTCCAGGGATTCTCTGACGATGCTCTGGGGTCGGATACGGGTGATGAGGAGTAGACTGGCCGAGGAGATCAACGGGCATCCAGCTTACTACAACACAGTGAAAATCCAGCAGGCTTACGAAACATCGATTCCAGTACTAGGCTTGTACTACGAATCAATGCAACCTTTTTTGAGGCATGGCCCCATGGTCCCATAGCACGAAACGCGAACATGGGCTTCCGCGTCCTTTCGCTGCCCAAGCACATGTTGTCCGTCACTCATATGAACCCATTTCGCTCGTCATAATCTTCATTGATTCGCTGACTCCTTCTGAGCGCACTGGGGAGTTAACTGCAAGTCTCACACTTGCCTGTTCGGTCGGCGCTGTTCTCTTATAGCTTCTCGCGCAACTGCACTAGCTTTTTTCCTGCCGTCCCCCAGAAGTTCCCTCAAAGCATGTACGCCACACGCCTTTGTTCAAGGTGGTCGTCCAGGTCCAGCAGGTCGTTCCGCACGGCTCCTTGGATGCCCGGCGCGTGCACATCCCAGGCATGCTGGTGGACATGGTGGTCGTCGCAGGACGGGATGTGCTCAAAGCTCGCATTCGAAGGAAGTACTGAAAACATTCATGGCGCGCTCCTTTTCCCGGATTTGGGTCAGAGTCAGCTCTATTGCTGGTGGCATGTGAGTGCTTTGACCGCACGGCCCTGAACCCTGAAGGTGGTGAGCATGCCGCAGTCACCTATGCACCTGCAGACCCTCGGCAGCGATACCATGCTGTTGGGAGTTTCGCAGCTGCTTCGAAGCGCGTCAGGCGCTGAAGATGTGCACATGCTCAGGTCCATACTTGCGGTTCAGGGATCTCAGGCTTAAAGGACCTTGAAAGCTGCCGCCTAAACACAAGCTCCGCAGTGCCGCTCAGGATCAGACCTATGATGCAACCTTGTCTGGAGAACTGAAGCCGAGGAGGGCCGCCATCGAGGAGCGGCTAAAGTGTGTGTTTGGTTGACAGGCGTCGTTTGGACCGTGCCCCTGACACTGCACACTCACATTGAGACTCACATCTACTGATATATGTCACCCATGCCACTGTCGAAGGCTATGCAAGTCAGCAAAGGCAGTGCCACCAGCTTCTACATAGTTTCATGCAGGCAGGCAAGTGATATCCAAAAAGGCCAAAACCGACATACGGAGCCCGAGTTATCCAGGAGCTTCCCTGGGAGGGTCCCCGCAATGCCTGCCAAAAGCGGGTGATGGCGCACCGCGCAATGTTCGAAGTGAAGTGCGACGCTGGGCTTAGCAAGTCGGCATGCAGCCACTCTGCACGGATGAGAGTTTGGGGAGTGAAGGGCTGGACGATAATGAGCAGAAAAAACGAGTGTCCCTCGTTTCGTTTCCGACATTCTTGCTGCCGGCCTCAGACCCAACGACCAAGTTTCAGTCCAGTTTGATCTCGAGTTTGGCGGGAGGGGAGGGGGGGGAAGGCTTGAGAAGTGCGGCTCCAGGAGAAGGCCGTGCTCAACTTCGGCGTGGGCTCTCCGGAGTTTGTCGCCGGAATGATCGAAACGCATGGCCACCAGAATCCCAACCTCAAGGGCTATATGCCCCATGCCTTAAAATGGAACGGCTGTAGAATAAGGTTTTGAGGTTCCGACTGAGTCATGGCAACAATGATTGTGCTGCCCCCAAAAAACCCTGTGTAACGCCATCCTCTGAAGCCTTTTGAGAAGCTCTTTTTTCTGCAGAGGCCCACGGTGGAGTCTGGAGTTTGGGGCGGTCAGGCCCAGGGTGGATTCCGCTTTGGCACCAGCGTCGGCTTCGAAGCGATCATGCCCACCTCCTCCATGATGGACTTCTATGTTCCTCGGCACCGGGGGGACCCTTGGAGAGTTTTTCGGTGGCTTTCCAAGGTGCGGTGCAAGTACTTCCATCAACAGCCGAGTTGTCGTGCAGTGAACGAAGGTTGGCGGTGGTATTGATGTTGCCTTCCTGGGCGTCGGGGAGGTGGGCTTCATGATTGCTTGTACTTCAGACTCAGACCGTTTTGCACGGGCGGGCTGGCATTATACCTTCGTCTCAATGAAGCAAAAGGTCTTGGCGCTTTTATTCGGAAGGGCGGCCAAGCCGTGCCTGTTGTTTCTTGCATGCCTGCCTTTACTCGTTTGCGCTCCGTTGCTGCATTTGCCTTGAAATTTTGCGCTTCGTGCTCTTCTACGCAGTGGTGTCCGAGGGCTTGTCACGCAGCAAGCAAGCTATGCGGGTAGCCATCGCATCTATGTCTAGGACATTCTAGACGTCGAGCTTGAAACGCAGGTGGATGCACTGGGCAACGTTAACGTGTCCAACTTCGCCGGCCGTGTCCCAGGTGTCGGTGGCTTTGCTGACATCGCTTCCAATGCAAAGACACTTGTTTTCACCACGACGCTCACCTGTGGGAACTTGGTTACGAAAGTGGAGGGTGGCAAGCTCATCATTGTACAGGAGGGCTCCATCATGAAGACCCTTGGCCTGGAATTCTTTGAGTACTTCATGTTTTTTGGCTGTGGCTGTGGCTGGGCTGTGGCAGGGTACAGCAGACACGTAGACGTAGAGGCTTCGGTAGCTGAGGTTCAAGCAGACCATCGATGAGATCACTTTTCCATCTGCGTCGCAGGGCTCCCGACGAGTCATGTTCGTGACGGAGCGCTGCGTGATGGAGTTGAGCCTTGCCAGGTGGCCCCTACATCTCGTCATACCTCTTACTACCTAGGCCTGAGCATACACTGGCATATACGTAGCCTTCGTGGGAAATCCTGTGGTTGTTTTGTCTTTTTGTTTCGGTGTGTTCTTTGGCTTCTCGGTCGGTGGTTTATTTGGGCTGTCATGAGACCTAGCTCTGTTGGAGCCTGTGGGAGTTGTCGGTTACCATTCTCTTTCAAAGTAAACTCAGGTGGGTAAAAAGGCGACTGTGGGCCCTAAGCGGTATGAACATCATGTTTTAAGGCGTTTTTTGTGCTTTTGTGTAAAGTTGTCTCCATCCCTAAAAACAAGCCTTGTTGTTTGTTGGACTGCAGCCAAAAACCTTGCTAGTTGGAACGCACAGGCAGCATATAGAGTTAAGCAAACATATGCGCACACTTGCAAAACAGATTGGTAGATGCTCTGTGTCACTGGAGTTATTCTTTGGAGGCACTCGTCCGGAACCCTAAACTCTCGCAGCTGCGCACGCGCAATCTCGCTTGTTGAACGCAGGCAGCGCCCTAAGCAGCATGTAGAGTTGAGCAGGCATGCGCGTGCACTCGCAAACTAGATCGGTCGAGGCTCTTTGCCACTGGAGTTCTCGCCCGAATCCCTAAGCGTGTCTAGATTTCGTAGCCACCTTCTCAAGTTTTTGTCGGCTTCTTAGCTTCGCATCCTGGCTTCTTGAAAAGCAATGCATTTTCTTTTGCTACGTGAAGTACGACAAGCTTGTGCCGGCAAACTGGCAGCTGAGCCCCTGGTGTCACGAAGCTGCTCTTCAGAATGTGTTCTTAAGAACAGTGTGAGCAGCCAAGGAGGCAACAGCGCCTTGTGCTGACAGAGCTCGCTTCCGGCATAAGTCTGGATGACGTGCTGAACAACATGGGCTTCCGGCCTGAGATTGCAGAGTGCCTGGGCACTTATGACCCACGCATCTTTGAGCGATAGCAAGGGGCTGTTTGCTCTCAACTGTTACGCCGGAACACACAAACAAATCGCTTGCTATGTCATCTTTTGAGAACGCGGCGAGTGTGCAGAAAGTGTGGCTGCGATGCGCCTCGCTTGTTTCTCTCCGAAGCAATGCACCGTTCAAGCAAGCGTGCTTTAGCACGTTTCAGCAGGATTACAGCATTTCGGGATTTGCTTTGCTCGTATCTTTAGAGCTTCTGGAGTCATGTGTGAAACAGGAAGTGCTGTTTGCTGCGAGATCACGCCCTCCTTTCTCCGCACGTAAGCCAGGCCTAGCGGCTTCCAGGAATTCCATGCCAACCCGAAACATGAACCGCATCATACTGTATCATACTGTATCCAAAGCTTGACCAGTTTGACGAGTCTCAACCGTCTCAACCCTTGCTTGTCCGCTTTCCAATTCCTTCCCGGCCCGGCAGGGGCTCCAAAGCCTCACATGAAAACACTGCGCCGCGTCGAGAGCCCGAACAATCCCCAACTCCCCAGTCTGAACCCTCGACTGGCAGTACTTTTGGGCGCAGGGCCCGTCAGAAGCGGAGCGTGTCGCCCGCCAAGTTCGTCACCACTGCCGCGCTCTGTGCGGAGCTTTCCTTTCTGGATTTGCGGCGCTAGACTAGCAGAAGGGGTCAGGTCCAGGGTTGGTACGGGGTTCGCAGGGCAATAGCTGCCGCAGATTTGGCATGACGTTTTGGGTATTCTGGCATCGATAGGCATGAAATGCAGCGGCGTCGCTTCAGGAGGACTCGTCCTTCATGTTCAAGAACAGCGAGATTCCTTCATGGGGCGCAGTGACGGGGACCATGTCTTTGTCTGCGACCGAGCCGTTTCGACTGCCGAATCCACAAGCCCTGAGCCCTAAACTTCCTCAACCCTAAGCCATGTAAAGCCCGACACAGCATCGAACGCCCGAAAACCAACAGCCGGTGGTGCCATGTGGCTTCCAGCTGTTCTGGGCTTCCTCGGCTGCTCGCATCTGGGCGTTGTACCAGTCGCCGCCAGGATGTTACTAGGCGTGGGGTCGTTTTCCGGCGCTGAAGAGCAGGAGCAATCTTTACACCAGAAGTCCCCAGGCAATCGAACCGTATGCCGTATGCCCTACGATTTTGAATATTTCGAAGTCTTAGGTCGCATCCGCAAGGGAGTTCCACAAGGTGTTTGTATGTTGCGCTTGGTATGATGGAGGGTTTGAGATGCCTTGGTCAGAGCCCTGCGCTGTCTCACATGTATACACAGTATACACCTCGAACCGCAGCCCTGAATATGAATTAGTTCAACACTGGTCTGCTGAAATGCCGCAAAGCGAGAGCACCGTGTAGAAACCGCCATTGGAGCGCCATACCCCCCCCCCCCCCCGCCCCCAAGCCCGTCTCCTGGAGTTGGGGGTTCACAGTTTCAAAGCTTCACAGCTACTCTTTTTGTGTCTTCTGCTAGCACTGCGAACACAACCCTTGAAGCGACCCCTCACATCCCCGAGTCCCACAGATTCCTGGGGAGGTTGAAGGTTGAGGGCTTTAGGAGTTTCGCACGGCTTTCCCTGGAGGCATGGAGCGTTCACATGGTCGGCACCGGCCTTCCTGCCTGGGACCCGGCAGCCTTCACCAACGTGCTGGCGGCTGCGGGTAGGGCACGCAGGCGGAAGACGGACCTCGGGGAGCTTGGGCGGACGGGCTTGGGATGGGTTTTGGGGGCTAAAAAACAGGCCTTGGGACTTTGGCTGGTCGAGAGTTATTGCGCAGCGTTGCATTCGACAGCTTGAGCAGTGAACCCACAACTGCCCGAGATGCGAAACGTGTCGGGACCACGTTGAACGAAAGGCACATGAAACTTCAGTTGGCTCCCGCAGGTGGCAGCAGGGCTTAGCTGCACTCCAGCTTGCGAATCGAGAGGGAAGGACAAATGTCATCCACTTCAACGTGATCCTTCGGAGCCTCCGAGTTCAGACAATTTCAAGACAGTTCTTTTGCCAGAAGCCTCTGAAGGAGGTACTGGTGAGAGTAGGTGTCTCCTGAGCATGGAGAGGAAATTGAAGCCGTTGGAACGGTTGACGAGCCATGAAGGGTGGGTTTGGGTGGTCTGCTGGGATCTGCGGGGCGAGGGTTCTGAGCCTGAGATTCCTGAAAAATTCAGATTACTAATCGCTGTGGGCTCAGGAGTTGCCAGCAGGCGGAAGTTTGGGAAGCAGGCCTGAGTTTGCTTGGAAGCCTTCCCACGACCCGCATCGACTCGGACGAGCTCACCTGGACCGCGGTGATCACCAGTCTCAAGGCGGATTGGAGACGTTCTTCACACCTTTTGCAGGTCGCCGTCCGACGCCAAACCGTGGACACCGTGACCTTCAGTGCCGCGGCCTCCGGCTTCGAAAGTGGCGGCCTTTGGCCTCGCTCCATGGCTTTGCTTTCCGACGCCCGAATTCGACGGGGGCTGCTGGATGCTGTACTGGTCGGTACGGCCGCCAGCGCCTGCGACAAGGGTGGTGCATGGGCGCAGTCCCTAGCACTTCTCATCAGGGCCAGCGCCGGCCACGTAAGGTTGAAGCTCAGCTGATTAGGATTTCCGAGACTTTCGTCCATAGGCACACCTCGTGGCATGCAAGCCTGGGCATGTGGCATCATGAAGCACGAACTCAATCACCTGCTTCACGGCCACGGCTGCCCCGCCTGACTAATGTGAGTCAGGAGCGATGTGTGCTTCAGTGCATCAACGAGTGCGAGCTGTCGATCTGGGCAGTGGGACGTTGCCCTGGGCCTGCTCTTGGATTCTGTCTGGAAGGGCTTTCAGACGTCCGTGATCATTCTGAACTCCGCGGAGGCTCGCTTCACATTTCAGATTTCAGAGGCCGCAGGCCTTGCCCTGACGAGAAGAACGATAAGCCCCAACCCCTGCAACTTCGAACGAGGACTGCAACATACTGCAACTATGATCAATTTAAGAAGCCAGCCATGAACCACCCGACCACCTGGAGCCATCCCTAACATCACAGTCGTTTGGATTCTTGCCAGTGTGCGCCAAGGAAAGCGGTGTGGCGAAGGTCGGTTCATGGTTGCGGGCTTTGTCTCTTCTGAGGAGGGCCTTGGCCTAGAGAAAGGAATGGTCAGGTTCAGAGTTCAGAGGCACTGTTAGTTTTCGGGTTTCCTTCGAAGCCTAAGTGGAGTTTTTCTGGGCTTCTAAGCAAACTTTGTGAGGACCTTCTCCAGCTGCCGCTTGGAGCCGGACACTGCGACTCAGCGCAAAGGCACAAGGAGTTCCCAGAAACCGGGCCGGTGGAGGATGTTGGAGTGTTCGGTTCGGCCAAAAGACGTTTAAGGCTTCTTGGCTTTGTGTGTGTGTGTGTGTAAATGTGCGTAGATGGTGGCGCGCACTTATGTTGGGAGTCAGGGCTATCAAGAGAACGCGCCCTGCACCCCCAAAGCCAAAAGCCAATCACAAATACATCTGCGGCTGATTTGTCAGGTGCTCCGATGTGATTTCTTACTTCGACGGATATCTGAATCCTTGCCTGCCTTGTGCGAGCGTGAGCGTCGAAAGCCAATCAACATCAAGGCTGAACTGCCTTCACCCCGAAGCCCTCAATCCCACCTCTCAAGGTGAGCCACAACGCCTGTCTCACTTCGCTAAAGCTGAGGGCTCGCTGGGAGAAGGCATCGGCACTGCTCCCCGACTGTCTGGCTTAGAGTTGAGCTTTCAAGGCACAGGGTTGAGCTTCTCCGATGCTGAATCCAACACCCCGCCTCCGGCCCCATAGCACAACACAAGCAGCCCCACACTGCAAAAATTGTTCCACACCGTTGTGACGAGCACAGGCTCTCGGCCATGGGGCAGAGCGCTGTGCCCGCGGGAGATGTGAGCGTCAACGCAGCCCTGGCCGTCCTTGGGGAAGCAGGCTGGACTGGTGTTGGTGGACGTGTTTGCAAGGTATCGTGCCAGCTTCAGAGCCGAACGAGCACAGATGTTGAGCATTGATGTGTGCTAGTCACTTGGTTTCTACTGAGTAGGTGGTCAGCAGGAATCAGCTTGCTGCAAGCGATGTGGGGGAAACTGCCGGAGGTCGCTGGCCTCTCGCTTTGACCTTGCTGCAGCACCCGCAGGCATGGCTCGAAGCCCTGAACCCTAAAACGAAGCAACAACGAAGCAAACATTAACAGCTCCATTTGCGCGGGTAGAAGCTCTCCCTTTGATGTGCATGAGTTGGAAAAACATGGCCAAAGCTTTTCATCAATACATATATATATATATATAGTTATGTATGTGGAATAAAGCCTTTCTCAAATCCAGTTGTTTCTTGCCGCCTGCCTCGCTGACATTTGCAAATCCAGTTTGAGATCTAGGGTTTCCGGATGGAGGTATACGCCAAATGCCATGCGCAACAAAACCCCGGTGGGCCGACCGAATCTTCTGTAGGTAGACGCGGAATGGCATCATGACTCGCAGTGTCACCTCTGCCCCAAGCCGAAACCTTACGAGCATCTATCCTTCAGGCGATGCTTTCCACGGACGGAATCCGCTTGAGGGAGTCCTTGTCAATCTGCAAGCAGGCGCTCCCCACAAAAAACTTCAGCAGATTTCAGTGCCAAGCGCTTTCGAGTTGTTGGTGAAGGTTTAGGTAAGCTGCCAGGGCACAAGTTGCGCAGTGTTCAGGATGCAAGTGCGCTGGATGTACTGGCCCATGCTCATCTCAAGCCAAAAGAATGTATGTCATTTCTTTCCCAGGCTTCTTTCTGGGACTTGGCGCTCGACCTCCTGAAGTGGCAGGCGTGGGATACGGTGAAGGTGATAGTCATGTTCTTTGACACCCAGCCGCTTCGCCACTCGGAGCTCTAAACCAGAAGCCATCTACAAATTTGTAAGCGCTGCTTGTCGACAGCCTTGGCCCATCCGAAAATCTAGAAAGACCAGTGAAGGTTTGTGTTCAGGGAGTTCGGGGTCGAAAACGGTGGTTTAGGAGCTGTTGCGCGTAGGGTCGAGAATGAAGTGGCTTTTGGGCTTTAGGGTTGACGAAAAAGGGGTGGGGGGATACCTTTGGAAAAGGCTGAGGTGAAGCTGCCGAAGCCATGGTCTCGTGCCAAACACTGGTATCCTTAGGCTTTGACGAATCCCTCGAAGTTTCATCTTCAATCAGTCCAGCGCCTGGCTTCGGTGCATGTTGGAAGACTGGTGTGGGGTATCTCCTGCTAGGCAGCAATGCACGCATTCCCTTTGGTTCAGCATAGGACCCGATCTATCGTCACGCTGACCACATGCGATTTATTTGCTGCTCGGGTGCCAAGCCAAACATGATCGAAGGCCACCGCGCGGCTGCAGCCCAGCGCAGCTGGAATCTGCTATTCGGCTTGATATTGGAGTTTGTTGCCCGGAGCTGTGGGGGGTCCGCCGCCGCGGTATCGTTTGCTTCGGTTTAGAAGGGCCACGACATGTTGGGGATTTCCTCCTGTGGCGGTTTGCTTGCAAGGCGGGTTTCACATTTTTTCAGATTGGAAGCCGTGCGCTACTCCCAAAATCAATACATTCATTCCCCATGGATGAAAGACGTTGTGCAAGGATCCACCAGCAGAAGAGCCCCGCATCCCAAGAGCTGGATCATCTCTTTGGGCTCTGAACCAGTCTGCTTCCCCAGCAAAGCATAGTTGCAAAACAGGGAATGATAGAACATGTGTGGAGGAGGCCCACAGCCAAGGCAGTGTAGCACGTGCTTGTGAGCGTGCACGGCGGTGGCAGCAGAGTTGGGGCCTCGTGCAAGTGACTTCGATCGGTTGGGGGTCCAGAACTGAGGTGTCATTTCAGGGCAGGTGTGGCAGTGTCCTGCTGTTGAAAGCATGCGCATAGACACCCTGGCAGCCAGCCCATCCGTTTGTACACCAACACACTGCCCCCCCCAAGACGGGCCCAGTGTGGCCATGGAGCTTCACCAAGCATGTGCAGTCCACCCGAAAGATGCCCCGAGCCTCTGTGATTCCTCAGAAATTTCGTGCACGTCAGGCTTGCGGGTGTCACACTGAGCCTTGCCATTCTTGGAAGCGGTCGCGGTTGTACAAGACTGAAGGAGGTTTGGGTCTTGACGGACTTAGACTTTCAGGGGGCTTCTGATGAGTTTTTATGCTTCTTTGGGTTCGTTGCTTCTCTTGCGTCTTGGCCTCTTGGCCTCTTGGCTGCTTTAGGGTCTGGGAGTCTTAGGGAGTCTCAGGGAGTCTCAGGGCTTGTTGACGCAGGGCCCTAGAGCCTCTGGCCAGAACACCCAATGCCATGCTGAGTAGTAACCCTCGGCCAGTTGCCAACACAGAAAGCATCTCACCCTCCAAAACTTTGAGGAATCTGCGCACACTTGAAGCAGTATTTATCAGCAGCCGAAACAGACATAGATCCCAGCTATGACGTTACCTTCCGTCCCAATTGGAGAGCAACCTGTCGCTGTCTTTGCCAATTAGCACCTAATCTTGCAGTCATATGAATCAGCTCATCTCCAGAAGCTGCCCCACTCCCATAAACCCTAATCTTGCATCGGTCTACGACGTTCTTGCAGAATATTTCAGAATGACTTTCATGTCCTCCGAGTCGTATAATATCCAGCAATACAGCCACGAATGGACTCCCCTTTTTGCATGCGTCCGTATCCGAGACCTTGTGGCTGATGGCCAACGCATCCTCACCACTGCGCAAGTGGCAGTCCTGTCGGCTGAGGAATTCGGGTGGGGCAGTAAGCTGTAGCAATGCGTGGCAAGGCATTTCTTCAAGCACATGGGGTGGCCATAAGTCATATGTGACCGACAGGATCTGAGAGCAGAATGTGGTGCATGTAATGTGCTGGCAGTTCAATGAAAGCGAAAGTGGGCGGCGGCAGCGTACGTCGAGAACCTAGGAAGAATGCTTGGCATTGACGCAGGCACTGCCTTTGACAGTTACTGTAGGGAACCTGCAGCGCACAAAGCGCAACGAATCTGCGCTCTTTTGACAGTTGGCTCTTGAGTTGCATATGTTTGCATGTTTGTAGCTGCTTTGACGGAGTTGGGGTTCCAGATCCAGGCCGAGATCCAAAAAGAATCAGAAAAAACTTGAGGCTTTTAGGGGAGGCTAGGCAAAAAGTGAGTTTCGAGGAGCTGGTGCAATCTGTGTGGCTTGGTGCGCAGCAGCTGCGCTGGGATGACGACTGGCTGCCTGTGTCAGAGGCCTTCCAACTTCAACTGCAACCTCAAACCCTCGCTCGCAATCCCGCACCATCCCGCACCTGGATGGTGGATATGCCCATGTTTTTGGTGATGTGTTTAAAAGTTATTCTTTTGTAAGTGCTATAGCTCTCCACCTCCGAAGATTCGTGCTGTCGCCGAACCACACAACTCAGAGGTTGGGGTTGGAGACTAGGATGTCACCAGGTGTGGTGACCGTATTGGTCTCTTTTGCGGAACGTGCGCAGCCACAGTGTACCAACCAGGCGCTTGCATCGAAGCTAGGAGAGCTACCTTTGGAAGACCTGGCAACGGTGTGGAGCCCGGTGGTTCAATGGAGCTGCTTTTTGTTCCGGTCCTTGAAAGCTTGGAGCATGTGTGAAGCCCGCATATGGTTGGTGGCAGGAGTGCATGGCATTGTCTGACGCTTATACGTTACATGACCCAAAAATCCAAGCACAGGCACTCCAAAGCTTGCAACAGGAACTTGCAAGAACTCGGCCTTAAGTGGGCTTTGACGATAGCTTTTTTTGGGGATCAGCCACACGTTTCATGAACTCGGCCCAGCTCAGGCCCTGTGGTCCTTCGGTTCCTTGGCAGCCGCTACACCCCGCTTCCTGCAGGCAACCGGCCGCCATGTCCGACCAACATGCTCATCTGCGCCGGCATGCCCCCAACATCTCTCGAGATGTCTCCCAACAGTCTGAGTTTGCAACCGACGTGTTTGGCCTTCCCCCTAAAGCCCAGCTCGTAGAACCTTCAAGCCGGAGGCAGCTGCAAACGAGGCCGTTTGGAGGCTTCAAGGTGGCCGCCCGGCACCAGGAGATGAGATGTGCTCCTATAGGACGTAAGAACTCGAGGCATCTCTAGGCTGCAGGGGGATTGACTGAAAGACACCGGCAATACAGCAACTGGTGAGCTGCCAGGTCAGTTAGGTTTTGGCTTTCCAGAAGTTAGCTGCCAAAAGCTATGGGCCCCAACCAGCGAATCTGTGTGTGGATTATCCAAAGCACCAAAGAAAGCCCGTCAATCGGCCGTCTTGAGGTGCATCGGCTTCTCCGAGAACTCTTGCAGATCTTGCGTGGGGTCAGCAGCCCAAGCTGTCTTTCGCAACCCCCTTCCCCTCGCCGTCCGCCGCCCGCAAGTCTTGTGCCAACGCGTGCAAGCATATACGAACTGAAAGACGCTGCAATCTGCCACAGCCCAGTTCATTTGCCCAATTTTGGCTGCTAGGCGTTCGGCTCTAGGATGGGTTGTGCTCTAGGACCGCAAGCCTCGCCTGGCGTGTCCGAGTTTCGAGCGAGAACTCGAAAACCCAAAGCATCCGATAACTTGCGCAGGCAAGCTCTGATATCATGGTTTGGAGTTGTAGGCCGATGTGCCCGACAGCACTTGAGATTGCGCATGCTCAGCTGTGCCTCCCGAACACCCTGGCGAATACCACAAAACTCCGCCCCCCCACCCCCCCCTCCCCCAAGATAAACGGATGAATGGTGCACACTCCTGACTGTCCTGGGATGTGAGCAATCCACCCTCCCCCCACCTCAAAGCCCGCAAGCCATCGCCAAGCCAAAGAGATCCAAAGAGGCTTTGCCACCCTCGGCTTTCCAGCGCCCCAGCTCATGGAGCTGCTGCAACAGAGGCTGGTGAGGCGCCTCGATCAGCGAGGGTGTCCGGGTGGAGTGCGGAGGGTGGGGGGCATGAATGTTCTCAGTCAAGAAACCCCGGTGTATGCCCGAGCAGGTGGGGCGCAGAGGACTATGCAGGCTCGAATATCTCGAACTCCGAGCGCACCCAGTTCATAAGCAAAGCGCAGGTTGTCGTTTGGGCCTCTTGGCCTGCACAGTCTTGCCGAGGGCCTCGGGGTGCATCGCATTGATCGCATCAGCTTTCTTTGGCGTGGACCATGTGTAAACAAAGGCGTCGCACCGCATGAGTTCGTTACACGCCGGGACCTCATGCGTGATTTGAGCACTTGCCTCGGTTTTGACTTGATCCTAAGCTTTTGCTGGAGGAGGAGGAGGTTCTAATGTCTTTTCGAAGGCATACTCCTGCATAGTCCTTTAGACTTTAGACTTTGGGTTTAGAGTTTAGGGTTTGGATTCAGTCCTAGCATGAAGCAGGTTCCAGGTTCAAAAGGGTTTGGGTTTGTATTTCTACAAGCCCATTACCTTCGGTGTATGCTGCTGTGAGCAGACCCCGTCAAACTTGGATCGCCCGAGCATGTAGAGACCTTCCGAATCCTGGGAGACAGCCTTCCTAGAAAGGAAGCTCGGAATGCAATGCAAAGCATCAAACAGGAGGCCACCTTCCTGCACCTCCAAGCAGTGTTTGGGAGTGAGGCCCTCAGCCTGTCCGCTTGGCTCCGGGCTCGGGTTTGAGCGCTTCGTTCCTGGCTTTTTGTCGCCCTGGGCTTATGTCAGTCGGCTTTGTTCTTACGGCCAAGACTGTTCATCCTCCATCCGGAGAAATGCGTCCGTAGCATGAAAAATGCGGCACGCAGTGGGCCCAACCAACCAACCAATCCCCTCGAACGATTTTTTCTTCAGATGATGGACCCCACGAAGTGCAGGGCTCTCAGACCTGCTGGAAGAAGAGCCGGCCACCTTTGCGAACCCAGATGCGCCATTGCCTACACCAGGCTGCAGGGCATGGCAGGTGCAGGATTCAGGTTGGGGTGATTACGGACCGCCGCTGAGCTCTGAGTTTTTGTGGCATTCACATGGGGAAACTCCCTGGAGGCTTCCGTGGCCACACTTCACCGCATGTGGTGCAGAACTTTGCTGACAGGCCTTGGGGACTTGCATGGATGTGACGGTTTTTATTCAGATCTGTGAGGGGTTGCCCATGTGGATTTCGGCACCTCAGATGGCAAATCTGCGCATTCATGATCTGCTGCCTTCCAGCAGAGATGTTGTTGTGGTCCTGCTTAAACGTGTGCCAGTCTTGCTACGGTTTTCATAGTGTTAGGGGACCCAGCTTTGCCCGTATGTTCGGCAGACTCGAAGAGGGAGCGTGCCCAAACGGAACATGCTTGCCACGCCAATGCCAGCGACGAGGGCTCCTTCAGAAGGCCACAGGTACTCGACCTGGAATTGGATAAGCCTTGTGCCTGCAAGCTGGTTTGAGCCCTGTAAAGGTTCGTCCTGTTTAAGCCCGAAGGCTGGCAGGCGGGCGGGCATCGTATTAAGGGCCGTTGTGGCTTGGATGGATTGTAACTTGCCGGTAGAGGAGGGGTGGTTGACTCGACAAGGAACCTGCACTGCGAGCAGACAAGTTTGCCCACAGTTTACTGTGGCTGAGCAGAAAGTTGGAGTTGGAGCATGTGGGCATAATGCGCCCTGATTATGCACCCTTGCCCGTGGCCCTGTTCGCGCCGCAAGCTAGTCCACACTCGACCAGGGCATGTCAAGAGGCAGGCCCTTTCGGCTCAAGGAATATGAAGGGGTTTGCCCGACAGTGGGCTCACCACTCGTCCGCGCACTGCATCGAGCTGAGAGGGCTGCAGCAGCGATCCATGAACTGTTGCCAAATGTCTTTGCGCTTTCCACCCCTTGCGACTGCTCTAACACTCCCCAGCTCGGTGCTCGTACAGGATCCTGAAGGGTTCAAATGATTTCAAAAGCATGCAAACGCACGAGAGCAGGGTTGGCATGTTCACTTGCTGTGACTGTGTCCCCAGGTGCATGACGCCCCAGCGAGACACCACGTCCTTGCGAGAGGCACCCTTGTGCACGCGTTGTGCACGCTAAGAGACGGCTTCCAGTGGTCTTCATCATTGAATTAATAGTTGCAGTCTCCGAGGACACCATCGCTTAAATCAGCTTGACCCGGAACGCTCGCCATAGACATGCCCGCAAAGTCTGAGATCCTCGATACGATGGGACTCTGTGAGCTTTCGAAGTCTCTGTATCTTGGTAACCTTGATCTGGTGTCTCTGAGAAGTCCCCTTGCCAGAAGGCATTCGTTCCCAAACATGCCCCAACAGCTCTGCGCCTCTCTGCGCATCTCTACGCCGCCCCCGAGTCGGCCTGGGTGTGATCATTGTGACCATGCCCGAGGAGGAGTCGAATACGGCCCGCCGGGAGGGGTTGGGTCGGGAGGCAGAGTGTAGACGTTGTTGGGCCCCGATTCCAGGCCCGCATTTTGATCTTCTTGTATGTACTGGCCCAGCAGCTAGAATGCTTGCAATTGACAATGGAGTTTGCACAGCTCGAGCTTCGGGGGTAACACGTTGATATCTGGCCGTGTGCCGGCGGGCCTGTATGTTTTACGGCATCCACGGCAAGTGCTGTGAATTACAGGACATCGTGCGCTTCTCATTCTAGTACACTTTCCCCAAGAGTTCGGCGACGTCCGCTTTGGGATCCAATTGCGAGCGCCCGACCCAGCTGTAGATATATTCGATGAGTTCACGTTGTATAAAGAGGCAAAAACGCTGTAAATAGCAGGGTTTGAAATGGCATGAGCACTTATGACAGCGCCTCGTGTTGCCGAAAGTCAAGCATCCTCCTGCAACATGTGGTATAAAGAGGCAAGTACGCCGTAAACAGCAGGGCTTTCGGCATGTTCGCCAAAAACTGGCATGACCACTTGTGACAGCAGCTCGTGTTGCTGAACATCACGCATCTTCCTGCGACATGTTGTGTTAAGGGGGAAAACACCGTAAGTAGCAGGGTTTTGGGATGGTTAGCGTAACATGGTCGTAACCAACTCCCCCCCCCCCCCCGTTCCTCCAAACAGGACAAGTGAAGAAAACACACACAGACAAAAATGTGTGTGGGCGTAGGGTCTACCTGCACTGTGACGTCATGGGTTCGTGCATCAGGCACTGGCTTCTGTAGGGCCGGGCCAGGTTTGGCAACGAACTCTCGAGGGCCTCGACAAATTTCCTGAGCCCTTGGACGCGCACACGCGCATATGCATTCTGCTAGGGCACTTGTTTCGGGCTTCGTTGTGACTACCTCCGTTTCTCTTCTTGGCCCTGTTTAGGATGCTCTCGGCAGGCCGCAGCTGAAGACCCAAATGAGGGAGCAGCTGGGGAGGCCGGAGAGTCAGAGCGGGCCGCGATCTGTCGGCCAGTAGCAATTCCCAGGAACTCCGAAACTTGAAGCCACACCCCCCAGCCTGCAGCTCCTGGCTACCCTCCCAAGCAAGTAGGCGCTTGTTCCTGAGCGGGACAGATTAAAGTGCGTCCCTAGATGTGCTTGTGCTGCCCACCCATCGGACCTTTGCTTTGGAAGTGGTGACCGCATAGCTGACATAGCTGCTTCACCAAGTTCGGGCAATTTGCGCATATCGAAGGATTCGGAGAGGGTACTGTCCTGAGACTGTCTACGGTAGTGCGAAGGCCACCCTGGTGAAGTCGCGCACAGTCGGTCCACCAAGGGCAGCTCGAATGCAGAGGCAGCGGCAGGATCGAGGCAAACATTTCGGACACATTCTATGTCACGGAAGCGTGCGTCGGCACATTGTATGTCATTTCGGGGAGGCGGGCTGTAATCATGTCAATCATGAAAGCTTCAGCATCGCGGAAAGCCATCCTAAAGCTCACAGGGCATGGGAAGCTTTGGTAGTTTGAGGAGCCGACAACTTTTGAGACATGCAAATGTAGAGCCTTCAGTATGGTGGTTTGAGAGGGGCAAAGGAACTTGGCGATCGGGATGCTGGTTGTACCTTTTCGTAATAGGTTCCTGACATTATAGGGGCCTGACATCCTTGCATCGCTTCACCCAAGGAGCGGAAGGTCGAATCAAGCCTCCTGGCAAGTATGGGGATGGTGCTGATGGTCAGGGTAGATGCTGGATACCAGAAACCGGAGATGCGGATTTGAGTCCATAGCATTGTGGCAGCTGCTCCGCTTTGCTGGACTCCCTGATGCCTGAGCTCTGCTTTAAACTTCACTCTACACCTGCCATTTTGGCTCAAGATCCAGCTAAATCTATTTCGGCTCAGCAACTCCTCTCATCCGCGCCAAGATGCTTGACGCCAGGATCGTGGCATACGCAGCTAGCTCCCTGCTTTTTCTGTCGATCATGGCCGTGGAGCCATTGAATCCCCGCACAAAGCGTCAAGAAGGCTACAACCCGGAGCCGTATTTCTTCCAGTGGAAGGCCCGTTTCGAGGAGAAGATGGGCTGGAGACCCTTGACACAGCTCTGAGCATGTCCAAGAAGAAAAAGGAGACTCCGGTGCAGTGGCTTCTGAGATGCTCGGTTTCACCCCTTTGGCAGGGTTCAAGCAGTGATGGTACTGCTTGCCGACATAACGAATCATTGAAAAGCATACATGATAGCAAGCAACAGCAGTTGCAGTTGAAAGGGCGGCCATGGTGGCAAGCAGTCACTTCCCCTAGCACAGATAAGTTTTGACCCTGCACTATCACGCCACGAGAAAACAGTTGCGAGACATGCTGGGTGGCCCGTGGTTCTACTTCAGCTTTAAACCCTTCCCCTTATCGATGAAGAACAAAGGAAAAACAGCAAGCCCAATGGTACGTCACTGTTGCATACCGTTGCCACATAACTAGTTCTTGGACTACGGCCCTGGAATGGTGACTGGAAATTGTCGGCCGATCCTGCTCCGCAGATGTACTTGGAGCGTATCATAGTTTCGAGGTAGAGCCGTGGGGCTGATGTTGCTGGTGTCTGGCAGTGCATGATCTGTGAAGGTGCAGAATTTCAAGCCTTCTTGACTTGGCGTACGTATAAGCATCTTTACCAAAGGCAGCAACCTCCTGGAGCAGTCGCTAGACGGGTGGTGAAAGAGCCCCCAAAACCTGTTTGCACGGGCCCTTCCCGCCGAGGGGAGCAGCTCCCGCCGAGGGCAGCAAGCGAGCGACCCGCAACTGGCAATGAAGGCTGCGACGCGGTAGCAGGGATGCCGGGCATTCGTCCCTTCTTCTTGTGTTCCACGCAGTAAGGCTGTGCCGCACACGTGTGTTCCTGGTATGCTGATTTCGATCCAGAGCCTCCTTTGGTTGAAATCAGAGCAGGAAGGAATCGCCGGGGCTTCGGACACGTCATGCTCCACTTTGCACCCCGACCCTGCCTCCCACCACATCGCCCTCCACATGGGGCTCCACACGCAACCCCCAATCCCAAACTCGCTAGTTGTCTTTGTCTTGTTGCATCCGCCAGACTCCGCAGCGGAGCAGCCGACGACTGCCGCAGGCTTTTGGGTTTGACTGGGATGGGCCAGTGTCCTCATGGTAATGCCACCAGGACGTCGACAGCTGCGAGTGCCCCGAAAGCCCTTATCTCTAAAGGCTAGCAGTAAACTGCGTGTGGCAAAACCAACTCCAAGCTGCGGCATTTCTTAGACCTTGGCTCGGAAAGCAGAAGCTGGCAGAACCCTTAAACGGGCGTTTTGAGCTTCAAAGGTTGTTTTGATCTCGCCTGTGGTTCGCTCAATGCCTGCGGGCTATGTTGGCCTTTCGGAATCCGAGTTCATGTGACCGAGTTGCCAATGAAGTGACGGAGAAGAACCGGGACTGGCTCATCTTCCGCATGTGTGAGGCAGGGGAATAACTTTAAGATGGGCAGGGGAATAACTTAAAGATGAATTAGGCACTCTCCTGGTTTTAGAAACTTTAGGCGCTGGCACACATGACAATTGCACTCTCCCAGCCATTGATGTGTCAATGTCGCGAGAGGGCTGACGAACACCATTGAACACCATCCATGATCCTAGAGCCATGTCACAATGGCCTTGGAGCCGAAGCCCTTTTTGCCTCAAGTTTTTGCCTCGGTCCAGCTCCTGGCCCTGAATCCTATCACTCAGTTCCTGACATGGGACCGTTCCTCCATCAACGGAATACGTTCCTCGAAGTAGCTTCGGAGGAGGACTTGTGCGTCATGGCCGCCGGGTGGAGCAGGTCGTCATCTTGGCCTCACATCGGTCGCGATTCGCGCCCGCTGTATCATATGATGGTCGACATGGGTGACGACTTTGCAGAGTGTGAAGAGGCAGTTGAGGCAGTGCCGGTCGTGGAGGAGGTTGCAGGTGATGCCTTGTTGGGCGCGAGCGAGCAAGGCGCAAATCACTGCAAACCCTGCATCTTCTTTGCCAGCCCCTTGGGCTGCTCACGTGGCGTGCACTGCCGCTTTTGCCACGTTCACAGTCCGAAGAGGGACGGACCGGCAAAGCGTGCGCGCAAGACGACACGTGACATGCTCAAGGCCCAGGTGCTGGAGCTGCTGCAGGGAAAATCTCCGGAGGAGATGCAGGCGATGCAGGACGAACTTCAGGATCTCGTGGACGGCAACAGCTTTGCGCGTGCCTTCGCCATGGCTTACCTCCAAGGTCGCATCCCCGACACCCAGGAAATCTCTGAAGAAGAGCGAGCTCGCATCCTCCCGGCTGGACCAGTCCATCGCACCATCTGAGGTCGGAGGGAGTTGACCTCTGAGCCCATTTCTCCTAGCAAAATGCTGTGCAACAGCCGGCTCACAACAGCACTAATGATGCTTGTTGCAGCAGCCCTTTGTGTGGACTGATCGGCCTCAGGTTTGGGGATCATGTTTAGAGGTTGAGGGATTCGCGCAGTTGCTTGTAGGGCGTTACAGATTTGTGTTGCGTGATGTGGTGCTTTCATGGAGTGACAGCAAGCTCGCGTTCCCGTCTCAGGCAGTTGCATAGCGCTGGTTTAAAAAAGTGCTGTTGGCATCTTCCTGGTTGGTGGGTCATGCTATCATCAGTCTGCACGTAAGGCTTTTCTTCATCTGGCGTTCTGCCAATCTAACTTGGGGTTAAACCAACCCCATTTGCACGCATCCAGTGGCGTCCGATCAATGACCATCCCGACGTCAGCCCAGTGCCACTCCAACCCCTAAACTCCGATGTTAACCTGGATTGTCTTCGGACGTCACCGATGCTTTAAGATGATGGATGCTCTCCAAATCTGTTCTTGCATACGCTGCTTCGAGGACAACGTAACCCGACACGCTGGTTTGAGGCGTGAGGCCCTCAGAACACCCCGAAGCGCTCGAGGCCGGACATTTGAATCTGAGCTGTATACATCAGTCTTCCCAGTTTGTGCCCCATGCTGCCAGGCTTGGGAGGTCCTAAGATTCGGAGACAAAAATCATCTAGGGCCCTCTGCCCATCAACTGTGGCCGGATCCGGCGGTTGCAGCCACAAGATCGACAAACGCAATAAGTCATTAAGCTTCAAAGCCGCCGTGGCCGGACATATTCGTTTCAATTGAGAAGGGGACAGTGCGACGCTGTACAGCTTGCTTGTGGAAGCAAACCAGATGTCCCCTTCGTCGCGAATGTGATGAACTCCTAAGGCCCGGCACTGCGTCAGACATTTCCGTCGTCTTTCCAACACTTATTACCCTGAACCCTACACGAAACTCCGACACTGCAAGCCAAAGCGAAATTAAATTCACTGAAGCGGGATGGTGCCGGGAAGGAATACATCTCAGAACTGTGGGCGCATGGCTGAGAGCTGAAGATCTCCTCCGCGATGCGTTTTGCGCACGTGCAGGAAGGCTCTGCGGCTATGCTCCTCATGGTGGTTCTCCTCATGCTAGATGGCACGTGGGTCTGACGTGGACCTCCCGGCGGCTTTCTGGGTTCTGTACATTGGGGGCTAGCTCCTTGCGTCGGAAGCTAGCACCTTACAGCCGAAACTTAGGCTAATATGGCTCATGGAGCATCGAACTCAGAATCGCCCGCACTGAGCCACGCCTATGGCGCCTTGCCAGCCAAAGATCGCTGCATCGAAGTTTGCGGCAATCCAGTACTGTTCAGACATCCGAATCCCATCTTCTCATTCTGGATTCTGCACTCAGACTCAGCGTCCTGATCTACTCAGACTTTGCTTAGATTGAAAGTTGAGGACCACTCGACTGCCTCCGCGCCCATGGCCAAGTGCATTCCTGTCGAGCCTAACCGTACCACTCCGGGATAAGCAGCCCCAGGGGGTTTAAGGTTTAGGTGCAAACCTTGAGAAACCTGAACTGCGGGGTCGGGCCTTTGTTGCCTTGGGCTCTCCCGCGAAGTGGTGGCGGCGCGACTTTTTCTGAAGAGGCTCTGATCCGTCGGAGCAAAGCGAGTTGTCGTGCATCTAAGACCCGCACAGCCACAAACTAAAGCACCTGTCACTTCTTGACAAGGACCCTCCTGATTCGAATCCCAAAGCAATAGCTTTGGACCTGCAGAGCGAGGCCAAAGAGAAAAAGCTCTCGGGGCCACGCTAAGTTATGGTAATTTGTGGTTCCTTGTGCGGCAGACCTGTTTCCAGACCAGGTCTACTCGGCTCCGCGGCTTCCGCATGTCATGGCCAGCCAGTGGACGCCCATCGTGCACTCTTCGGACCAGATGAAGCCCATCGGCTCTCTAGACTCCCGAAATCCCGACAGCTCACCCAAAACACTTCGGTCAAATTCGGTTCAGCTGGTTGCGCAGTATACCTGTAGGTGTAGTTCACTGGATACTATTCTTTAGACATGTCTAAAAAATAGTATCCAGTTGCAGCGCTCCCAAATCCATTTACTGCCTTGCTGTTTGCTCACTTGAGGTTCGGCTTCTGCAAGTTTAGCAAGATTGCGGGCGTTGACGCCAAAGATCGGGACGCTGGACTGCTGATTGTGACTCTTGAAACGGCACCGGGTCCTCAGCCTCAATGGCATGAAGTGGCTGGTCACCGAACAGCCGAGGAGAGATGGAAGAAGATCAAAACAGGCCACTTGGCAAGCTTTGGGCTGCGAGCCTCTAGTATGCGCCTGCGCAAAACAGTCGGAGGTTCAACAAATTCCAAAGCGCTCCGAAATATCGCAGCCCACATGAGCCCAGGCCAGCTCAAGCCGATGGTGCCCGAGAGGCCACGCCGGCCGAGGGTTCCGCCGGCACCGCGGCGCAAGGTGGCAAGGCCGCAGGAGCCGCCTGGCGTGAAACCCCGAAATTGAGAGACAAGTTTCTGCCAAGATGGCATTCTGGAGTCTATACACTTTGGTACACTAGTTTGCTTCCTCGAGGTTGCGTGTTGTAGCTACTGCCCGACCGCTTCTAAGCTATTAACATGCCAAGTCACAACTCTCCACGTCACTCAAGTGTCGCCCGTTGGCCTTTGCTCCAAGGGTGGATGTGCAGACGGAGCCCGAGCCGTGACTCGGCATCAAGCTTTTGAGGACGGTCTGAGAACCTGTTTTTCACTGTCTCTGGGCGGTCATAACTCTTCGTGGCATGGCATTTGTGATTGACTCTGCTTCTGATTCGCCGAGGAAGCACGTGTTTTCAAGCGCACCCTCCCCCTCCCCTACCTTGCTTTTTACAGGCGCGTTATCTGCCAAATTGTTTGTTGATGGCCAGGCCTGCATGAGCCATTCTTGCACACGCTGTGGTAGGCTGTTGTGCGTGGGGGGGGGGGGGGGGGGCAAAGGGGGGCGGAAAGGAGGGGGGGACCCGTCCGACTTTTCCGGGCTTGCCGACTTTTTCTACTTTTTGGGACTTGTCGGAGCATTTCGACTTCGGACTTTTCGTGGATGTTCGACTTTTCACGTGAAGCTGTTCCAAATCCTTTTTTCGCATTTTCGATTTTTTCGGAGTTTTTGTCCATTTGCAGCCGTCGCAATCGCAGCTGAAACCTCTGATCTCACCAAGCTCAGACACCGCTGAGGCCAGGTTCTTCTTCTCCGAAGCGCTCGCCTTCAGGACAGAATACGAATACGCTCTTATCCCCTACTGTGTGCCCGAAGATTCCCGGTCTCAGTCTCGCTCACATCGGAGCGGGGGGGCGGATGTTCAGTCTCGGGGGTGGAAGAACCCAAGCCCCCCAGTCCCCCAAAGCAAGCTGCTCAAGGACATGAGCGCTGGAAGGCCAGACGAGAGCCGCGACTTGGTGATAGGAAGCTTGTAGAACTCTTGTAGACATCGTTTTCGTTTTTCGGTCCAATTCGCAGTCCCTTAGGCAGGAGTGCCCCTGGTGCGGATGCATGGAGCCCCCGACGCACCCGAACCAATGCAAGCTGCGTGCCTGGGCAGCAACCGCCCTGTCGGCGGAAGCGGGTTGATTGCACATGAAGGCGCGACGTTTTCTTGTCATACCGTTCGCCATGAGCACCCAGTCCACCCCTACCGAAGCTGTGTCACATTGACGTAAAGATAATAATCGCCTCGCTGTAAGAGCTTGTAAGGGAACCGCAAGAATCACCGCGACAGAGACTCAATTGGCAAGACAAAGTCAACAGCAACAATAGGCTTTCCTGGCCCGGAGGCTCTATGTTCCCACGGTTGAGGGAAGCACTTGAATGTGCCTTTGTTTAACTTATAACTTAAATTTAATTATAACCGAGTATATCTTCGGGTCTAAAGGTTTCCATTATATAGCATAGATAATTTATCTAGATAAAACTAAAAGCTTGTGTTTACTCAAATAACGTGAAACTATATGAATTTTCTTTACTATTGTTTTTCTTCTTCTTCTTCTTCTTCTTCCCTTCGACGCTTCGGAAGATTTTCTCGCGAGGCTTTGCGACCTCCTCAACTGTTTCATCTACTTCATTATTCTCAACTAATTTTCCTATCTCTTCGTAGCATTTTGTTAAAACTTCTTGTCTTTCTTCGGTTTCTCCATTGGTTCGTATGTATGTGTGCAACCAGAACTAATGTTGTATGCAACAAAAGAACAGTTGAAACGCAACGAATACGCAAAGAATCGGATGCTTCAAACACCGCACATGCTGCCAAGCCCCCCCATTGCCCAAGGCATGGTGGAGTGCAAGTACTGCAAGCAGCTCATGGAGCTGGGATCCCTCCGCTTGCACTTCAAGCAACTCAAGCGAAGTTCAGAAACTTTTCGAGCAGTGATTCCCCTACCCTCTACCCTCCCGTCCTGATTCCCTAAGCAAGCTACTGGTCGAAGCTGAAACCCGATTCCTCGAAGCAGAGAGAGATCTTTAAACCCCGAGGAGCTGTGCCGCGCGGCCAATAGCAGCCTGGCTGAAGTGTTGAAGCCTTACAGGAATGACGTTAAGGGTTCCTTTCAGCTTCAGGGTCTTTTGGGCCTTCTCAAGCATCATGACTTATGCGGGGCGGCACCTCCATGATCTCGAGCTCAGGGAGATTCGGCTTCAGGGATGAAAAGGTGCACTTTCTTCGATTCAGAGAGGCACACAGGGGGATGTTGGAAGGGCTTGAAAGACTCGTTTCAAGCTTATCTCTGTGGTTTATTGCAGCCTGGTGATGTTTAGCTTTTTTGGGGCTTACTGGGTTTCTTAGTTTTTTGACAGGTGCCAAGTTATCTTCTTTGCAAAGAGCAAAGGCGCAAACGGAGAGCCGGGCACCAAAGAGCAGCAGTTCGAGCTCCGCGTTCACGACTCCCGGCTCGCGGTGAGGGCGGTGAGGGCCCCCACCAGACCAACTCCAAAGTCAACCGGAAGCACCACCCCTTAGCCCGGCTAGAGACCAGAGGCACATAGACTCACATAGACACCTCAGCTTGAAATTCCTAGCGTCCACAATGGCGGCCCTTTAGTTCATGGCTTGGGGATGCTTGGAGCTTGTGCCAAACACCCAAGGCAAGAAGAATGCAAGGCTTCAGATGCATGTCGCAGCTTTACAGCTCGGATCAGCAATTAGGTTGACCTGCCTAGTCGCAGTCTTTGGAGATGACCTCCACGACAGCAGGCGAGCCGATTTAGGATTTCGCACGCAGGTCAATCCAACCTCCGGAATCTGCTGCTGTAGTGCTGCGCCCATCTGTCGCCCATCGGTCGGAACATCACCTAGCTTCAGATAAGCGGTGGCGACTCGCGACCCATAGACTGCCATAGACCATCCCAACTCTCTGCAGCTTTGGAGTCCCGAGCAGAAGCAGACAAAAAGCAGGACCACCAGGATGCTTCTTGCAGCGTTACGCCCACTAACGCCCCCCGGGAGGTTGGCAGAAGATGCAGGCTGCCCGCGCGCCTGACAGCTTGGACCCCCAGCTGCTTGGACCTAACTCTTAAGTATCACATTGCCACACGATCTACAGCATCACCAGGTTGTTTTGGTAGAAGAATCTTCGGCTGAGGTGGGTGAAAAGCCTTGACGAGGGCTATGCTGTGCTCCGGCAGACGTTCAAGTCTGGCAGGCCACCCAAAGAAGACGAAGTAACGAGCCTTGAATGGCTGCTGTAGGGTCTATAGGTGTAGAGGTGCCATCTGGCTGAAGACTCTACTCGCCAGCATGGGCTTTTGCAAAGGTGCAGCATGCTGACGGCCGATCACCAGCAGATACCAGGAACATGTCGCAATGTCTACACAGTGCGGTTCCGCAGGACGAAGTCGTATGAGTGGCGAAGATCCCAGTTGCTGGCGCTGGAGCAGATGATCAAGACCGAGGTAGGGAAGCTTCGGAGGATTAGTGTGTGAGGCTTGAAAGGTGCAGTGGTGGTCACTGGTGCGCATTCACGCTTGTCGGTAGCCACACTGCCCTGCCAGTTCAGCAGCCTGCTTTCAAGGGGCTTTCTTGCTTCCTATTTGTTACTTTTTCTTGAGGCGACCGGGGTGACCATGTAATCCACACAAGCCGCATCGTCTTCAGACGCTTGTCGAGATTTTCCTTCCAACAGCTGACATCGGTCAGGCTGACGCCTACCTTCTACCCTTTGGCTGGCAAAAAAAGGCCAAACTCCCCATATTGTCAGGAGCTGAGGATGGCAGAGGCCGTGGCCAAGGACCTGAGAAGACCTCAGGAGACCCCTGCTCCCTTTTGCTGCCATGCGGGAAAGACTGGGATTAAGGGCAAAAGGCGCCAGGTTGAAAGATCCTCTTAAGCGTTAACACACATGCTTCAGGCTTTGGGTGTAGTTTGTATGCCAGCCTTGCGCCATTTCTTCTGCAGAGGCAGAGACGCTGTTGATGGAAACCACCGCAGTTCAGAGTGAGGCCGGACACAGCAGAACAAGACACGCTGCAGGCTCAAGAGCTGTGAGGTTCAAGGCATGCTGTTAAGGCGATTCGATCATTTGGAATAATTGGCAGTGCACCGAGCACCCTCCAGGTCCAGCACGCGCTCTCTAACCTCCGTAGCTGGATGAGACCAGAAAGGCCTCCACGTAGCGAGGCTTCGGAAGGTCATAGGAATTTACATGATGTTGGAAGGGTTTCCAATGATTTAAAACTTCCTGTGATGCATTGCATGCAGCCTTCCAGATACACCAGCTGGGGGAGTCTTTGCTGCGTGTGGGGTGTCGGGATGGTTGGGAAAAACCCGAGTGAATCTTTGCAGCAGCCCGCATTTGCTGTGCCAGTGTGTCGACACCGGCATTCCTTCAACCAGCATCCTCCTGGATCCGGAGGGAGCCAAAGGGGTGACTTGGCCTTTCGAGTTTCTTTTCTTCAAGTGAGGGTTGTGGCGGTGTGGGCCGGTTCATGTATGGCTTACGATCGAGATTGTTTGTGCTTGCACCTCCAAGTGAGGCTGCTGCATTGTCCGCCCAAGGCTCGTCCACATCATCAGCCCGTACAACTTCCCCTTCAACCTCACCTTTGGTCCATTGATCGCCTCGATCTCGGCCGGGAACTGTGTGGGGTCCCCAGCACCAATTGCGTGAAAGTTGAAAAGGGAGGGCTGCGTATGTACTCCGTGCTGTTCAATTGTTGAATTCGTGTAGCTGTGACCTGACCGCGCCCACTTTGCCAGAAGACCAGTGACCAGAATATTGCAGACGGCATATGTGCGGACCTTGAGAGGAAGGTTCTTTGAAGTCCCTGAGGCTGCCATCAAGGTGCCCGAGCAGACAGAAGCAAGCTCCAATTTAATCAAGGCCAGCTGGCCAAATGTCCTTCGTCAGCTTTCGCACTTTCAAGAGTGATTTTTTCTCAATGAAAGTGAATCGGCGGTGGTGGCCGAACAACCTCCAGCAGGAGCTGTGCGAGAAATACCTGGACACGGACGCTTGCCGAGTGACTGGGCCAGGGATTTAAATCAATGTGTGCTCAGCGTGGCTGGGAGATGTGTAGATGTCGTTCAAAGCGGGTCCACAGGTGGATGAAGAGACAACCGAACTGAAAACTCAAAAGGAGTCGTCCTGTACTTGATTGGATGGACGAAGAGATGGACACATACGCTTGCAGCCCCGTGCTGTCATTCACCGATGTCAGAACCCCTAGCTGCCCTAGCTTCCAGCATTGATTTCGAGAATTCCCTGGCAATACTGACGAATACTGTCGGCCATGAGAAACTCATAGATGGGCAAGACCACATTTCCGTGTTTCGACAGAGGAGTCTACGAGCGTCTCCTTCAAATTTCATCTCAAGTCATTGGTCGAAACTCAATAACCGCAAGCAAGCCCTTAGAGGCTGCAAGCGCCTGCGAGTCCTCGAATCGGAGCATGGGCGCTTATGTCCCAACATGACGGTACGGTATGGCAGCACATCCGCAAGGCCCCAAACCCTTCAAAGGTTTTTCTCGGAGCCATTCCTGAAGCGACGGAGTTGCTCACGCGCCGCTGGGACCATATCTTCTACACAGGCCGGGGCCCTCGAGGCTTGAACGATCGTTCCCCTCGTTCCCCTGGCCCCAGGCCTATTTTCCAGGGCTGTTTCAGCAAGTAACCTTTGAGGCGGGGGTGGGGGGGGCCTGAGCCAAAAAACAGTGCAGGGCACTTTGAGGCCACGTTGCTCTGCTGGCCCTTGCTGGCATTGCGGGAAGCATTGTTCTGTTGCTCAGCTGCTTCTGGATTACCAATCTCTTGCCAGAGCGCAGGAGCATTCTTGCTCTCTCTATAGGTCCCTAGGTGCTCGTGGTGAGTACAGAGCAGAGGAGAGTAAACCCCTTGCTGTTCTCAAACTCAGGCCCTTTGAGCCTGCCCCAGCTCAAGCGACAGAACAAGCATGCAAAGACATCCAAAAGCAAGTGGTTTTTCCATGAGTTGCTGGTCACCCAAACTACGGATGTCTTCATTCCTCAGCACAGTCATGGCCGAACCACACCCTCGAAACAAACTGGCACCGACCTTCAAGAGTCCCAGAAGAAAAAACAGAGTACGGTTCTGGAAGCACTTCTCGAAGCACTTAATTAAGCCACAGTGCAGAAGCACAATGCCACTGGCGGTCATGGAGGTAGAGGCTATTTTGACAGGTGGTCGTGGAAGTGATTAAATTTCGAGTGCCAACAGGTTCAGGTCTTTTGCGCCCCAATGAATAGAGCAAGTGGCTTGCCACAGTTGTGATGACAGTGTCATAATCTGGAAGCAGGGTTTCAGCAGGCAATGGCTTCGTGGGGCGAATCGTCATGGAAGCAGCCGCGAAGCACTTGTGCCCTGTAACGCTTCTCGGCCGGAAATGCAGGTGGCTGCGCTTGGAGGCTGGTTGCTCTGGAGCAGATCTACCGTATCGATACCTTCGGCCCGCCGACCCCCCTTGCCAACTGTTGAGAATGTCGACTTCAGCCCTTTATTCCAAACCAGGCCAAGGCATGGCATTGCAACACGCTTCGCGTCAGCTCCCTCCCCTATGTTCCCACATGTCTCTGTCAAAACAGGTTGGAATTGGGCGGCAAGTCGCCGGTTGTCTTCGACAAAGGCTTGTCTGCCAGTCAGCTGAAATTGGCGGCGAAGCGGCCCCTCAGTCAATTTGGATTGGCTCAATTTGGGGTCTCAAGGGGCATGCTTAGAGATGTCTAGAGTGTTGAGAGGGAAATTCAGTTAGCTCAAGGCCCTGAGTCGTTCGGCTTGAACGCCCTCAGCCTCGAAGCCTGCACAAGTATGACCCAGGATCGCCTACGTCGGTCTCTTCGTCAATGCCGGAGCATGGGCAGCAGTCGTATTGATGCTTGCTTGATCTTCTGTGTCTCCGGATGCCACGGCTGCGACCATTCACGAGGATCGAGGAGGGCATGTTTGGTTTCCTTAGCAATATTTAAAGTCGCTGTCCTGTGTGCGTGTGTCTGACTGGAAAGTCAACGCGCGCAATGCCGTTGAGCGATATGCCGAAAACGCAGATCCACCCAAAACCTTCCCGATGCAGGCTCGCGCGTTGTTGTCGAAAGCTTGCCGGGTTGAGGTTCCCTGTGTGTGCAGGGTAACTGATGTAACTGCCCATACATGTAGACAATTGCTTACCTGCTCGGCATTGTTGACAACTGAGGCCAGATCTGCGTCAGTCCTGACTACGTGTTGGTCCATAAGGACCACCCCCCCCTCCGCCCCCCTCCGCCCCCCCCAACCCCCCTCCCCCCAGGTGTTGCAAAGAGTTTTCCTTCAGAGTCTTGCCAGTCCGTCGGCTGGGAGGGTGTGCGAAGATTCTTCTCCTGGAGCACAGCAGTTTCCTCCGCCACAACGGCAGCGAGCAAAGCAGAAGTGAGATGAATCGGCATCCTAAGTCCATGATGGTCCATGCCCACACCAGTGTGCCGTGCACGTGCAGGACGTTGAGGGAGATCTCATCGCTGCACTGAAGGAGCTGTGCAGTGCCCGTTGTGAGGTTGCGGGACTGGGCTCACTTTGCGTGTTCTCCTGCTAGCGTTTGGAGACTGAGTCTGCGCAACTTACCTGCACTGATGTGTGCGGTCAGGAGGCAATCCAGACAATGAACCCTCCGGGAAACTCCACGGAAAATTTGGGCAGACTTGTCCACAAGAGGCTGCCTGGGCGTGCCGGAACATCTGGGATAGCTTGATATGCGCTGCTTTGGGGTCGACTTCTAAATGTGGTCACAGTGGGTTGGTTGGGGTTCCTTCAAATTAAGGTAGACAGGTGAGGTGGCAGAGATTGCTTTTCCTTTTTCGGAATGGAGGCAGCACAGTGTGCAACTGCAAAACCAGCCGTAGATGTACGGGAATCCATCTGCAATGAATTACACAGGTCATGTATGGCTGTTGAAGTTTCAAGGCACCAGGGGCGAACGAAAATAAGCTTCGCTGTGGTACAAGGACACGCACCTTTTCCACAACTCATCATCTGGTCATCAGGGGGAACTTAGGTTATGACACAGCGCAACAGCACAGAGAGAGAGAGAGAGGTAGAGCGAGAGAGCGAGAGAGAGAGAGAGAGAGAGAGAGAGAGAGAGAAGAGAGAAGGAGAAGAGCGGGTTCAACGGTTAAAGGTCCAGCCTCCTCCTCTGCCTGCATTTCTGAATTCTAAAGACCGCATGTGCCAAGTTTCAAGAGTGCCGCGGCGCCCAAATGATAAACCCTATGTAGGCCCTTGACTGGGTTAGTTATGCAAGTTGACGTAGCCTGGAGGAAGGGCGGACGTTTCCTGTGGTGCGCAGGGGGTTGAAGGGGTACCAGCTAGCTCAGGCACTATGACCGCATCAAGGGCCTGATCGACACTTCTGGGGGTCAGATCGTCTGTGGCGGTGCAACTGCAACTTCGGACAATCGCAATCGGCGTTGTGGGGTTTGCTGGGAACCTAAACGAACCTCAAACTTTGAGCAGCATCAGCATGGCTGAGTCTGCCTGAGTTCTCAAGGATGAAATGCTCGGTTTCGGCGTCGGTTTCGGCTTTTCATTCTCGCTTCAGGTGCGTCAAGTTCATGGCGCATGTGGACTTGCTCTGAAACTGGCAAACTCGAACTCTCGCAGAGACAGATCCCGGGCTTCCACATGCCGTAGGAAGCGACTCCATAAAGCTCAAAAGTCTGATTTTTCTGGGCAGCCGAGCATCCCAGCATCTCTTTGCAGCAATCTGAGGCAGAGGCCGGAGCAGACGAGTCGAACTGCTTTGTGCAGCGTGGCCTACATCCAGGAATGTGTGTTGGGGAGTTGTGTAGTATGCAGAAGACCCCCAACGGGGTTTGGGTTCTGGGTCTACGGGTTCATTCCGAGGTTATCATTTGCTTGGGTCGCATTTGCAGGCCCCAAGCCCTAAACTGCACCTGTATCTCCAGGCATCTGGTTGCTCCGTCAGCAACATACAGCGGTAGTGAAAATGGGGAAAAGCAACCAGCTTTAGCGAGTAGGTCTAGAGCTCGCTGCCCGAATGCCATCAGCTTTAAACTCCAGAAGTCAGATCCGCAGATCTCGAAGTCGCTGAGGCCGCCGACGATCATCTCAAGCCCGGACCTGCGGTCTCCCGCAATGGCGGAGGAGCTGCGGTTTGGGCTTCAGACACCCCTCCTATTTTTCACAATGGTGGCCACAAGGAGATATTTGGGCCAGTGATATCCGTCCTGCCCGTGGAGAGCCTAGATGCTGCCATTGATTCTCGGGCTGCGTTAGTGTTTGTGAGTCTGCTCTGCACAGGCGTTTGGGTCCAGTGAGCTTTGCTTGGCTCCTCATTCCAACACGTTGTACGTACTGTTGGGCGTCAGTCTCCACAGAAAGGGGACCTTTCAAAAAAGTCTTGCCTGCCCGCCGTTCCCTGGCACACATCATCTTCCATAGGGGTCTTCAGTCCCATTCTGGTTCTTCTTCCTTCCACAGATTCAGCCAAGAGTATCTTCCTGGCTCTGCGTCAATCTCCCCCTATAAAATCCCGACACCGGTCTGCGTCTCAGGAAATCATCAACGAGCGCGAGACGCCACTGGCTCTCTACGTCTTCTCGCCGAGCAGTAACCTTTCTCGAAATAGCATCGGAGCAAAAGTGCTGGCTGAGAAGATGGCATACCTCGTCAAGTACTACCGTAGGGCTGTTCCTGTGGAGGTGTGCTTGGGGGCCAACTTGGACTGATGTCCTAGGCTGCTGGGTGTTGGGCTTCAGAACTTTGCGGTTTGGGATGGCTGGTAACCTCCCTAGCTCCCAGCTGTTCTCCGGCCAGTCTTCCACACAAGGACATGTTGCGCAGCATCCAACAGGAAATCTTTGACTTCATTGTAGGATGCCAACAAAGAGACGGATCTTCCCCAGGTTCACGGGCAAAGCATGTCATGGACAGCACGAACAGTGGCGGCGTGTGCATCAACGCCGCTCGGACTGCGGGGCATTGTGGCTGGCAGCTGGGGATGGCCAGTGCCATGCAATCCTACCAATGCACGGACAAAGCTTACTGACGAGCTGCTGAAACTTCCGACATACGAAGCGACTGAGAAGCCCCTAGCCCTAAAAAATCTCCCCCTAAAGCCCAGGACGCGATGATGCACCTCGCGAGCCCGATGCTTCCCTTCGGGGGGGCTGGGCCAAGCGGCTTCGGAGCGCAACTGTCGCTGCAAGCGGCTTTTTATGGCCTTAAAGTGAGAGAGGAAAGGCCTTGTGGCCGAGGGCTGTTCGGGAGTGTGTTTTGAGGTGTGGGTTGAGGGGAGGGGTAAAGCTTTCCTCCTCCTTCATCCCCTTGTTTCATCTCCTCTCCCTCGCTCGTGCTCCAGATCTCTGCGGCATGCTGCAATCTCTCCATAACTTCGTGCCCGTGGGTGTGCAACATGATTTACAAGTTCAGCCCCTGGACGCGCAATCCTTGGGGCATGCCTAGCAAAGGGATTATGAGTTTACAAGGGTGGAGGTGCGAGGCAAAAGAAACCATTGTATCATGCTTACCGTATGGCTTAGCAATGTTGTTGATCGGAACGTCGGAGGCCTTCAGAAGACATACATGACTGGATGAACATGACCGGATTGACTGGAATTGATTGGCTTGTTCTGTTCGACTCTGACCAGCCGACCAGCCAGAAGGTATCATGGAAAGTTTGGCTTCGATGAGCTTACCCATAAGCGCGCAGCTGCTCGGCAAGCATGGGCCGCTGGCACTGGCACGTCCTTTTCTGGACGGCTTTGCAGTTTGAGGGCTGGGTTTCTGGGATGTGTCAACGACGGACAATCAGGGCAGGTTGGCATGGTCCTCCACTCATGCCTGCGCACACAACCCATAATCCCACAACTCTGGACTCAGGACCCTAGGCCCTCAATCCTTCCACCATGTGTCCTTATACATATCAGGGGCGTCCCGTTGCTTCCACCATAAGTTTGTAAAGTGGCCAAGAGACACCCTAACATCTCGTGTAGGCTCCTGGCCTAGCTGGTTTGGACTTCCCCTCAGGTGCTATCAAGGTCACTTCTCCTGGACGTCGAGCGCTTCCCGCCATACAAAGACTTCTGGGTGAAGGCACGGCCTTTCTCTTTTGCGGGAAAAACGGTGTAGTGGCGACTCAGCTTTCAGCAGCCTTCGCTTCCCTCCCAGAACTTCAGAACCCCTCTCAAGCCAAAGCGTGCTAAAACGCCCCTGCAGCGACCCTTACTCCTCTACAGGAGCGCACGCAAGAGCAACGGGAGCAAAAGGAGAGCAAAAGCAAAGAGCAAGAGGAGCGCCGAGACTTCTCCGCTTTGCCAGGTGGTGCGCTTCGCGTGGCTGGGCCCATCCTCGATACTGGCGGCCGGGCCCAGGGAGCTCAGGGAATGCTCAGGGGATTGGCTTGATTTTTTGAAAGAGGTTTTTTTGGAGGTTCTTTTTGTTTAGGAGATCTTTTTTTGGGTAGAGATAAAGAGATATAAAGAGGGTCTTGCAGTCTCGCTCGAGCTGGAACTTGCGCCTGTGCCTGTGCAGATGACATCCGCTAAAACGCAACATGTCTCTTCGCAAAGGGATCGAACCTGGCACGCGGTTGTCTGTGGCCTCTGGCTTCTTTCTAGGTGTGGTTCTGGAGCTTAGAAGCATTGGGGTTTTCAGATGCTCGTTCCGCGAACCACTTGGGCAACCAACGGTGCGATGTCAGCGGAAACGAGGTTGGAACTTGTAACAGACCGAAGCTCCAAAGGGCTGGGGGATTGCACAGGGTGGGCTTGTGATGTCAGGATTGGTCGGGTTGTTCGCGCACTCGAATCGGTGGGTTCAGTGCCCAGGCTTGAGGACAGTTTGGCATGAAGTCGCCGCCAAGCACGGTTCCACGCGCATTGGCTGTCTTGAAGGCTTGTATTTGCAAGCCCATTCATGGTCCCTCCCATAATAGGTAGATGCCTGAACCACGGCCTTGCCCTCAACCTAGGCCTTGGCTTCTTAAGGTGCTTAAGTACTTTAAGCTGAACCTCCAGGCCTTCACCCGGAAATTTTGCCGATGGTGATGTGCTGGGTACCACAACCAGCCGGATTGAGCATTTTATTCAGCTCGGGCAAAGACTCTGTGTACACCCTTTTTGAACACCTTCAACTCTTCAGCCCTTGGGGGCTGTTAAGCACCATGCTCAGTGTGTGGTTTCCGTCTGCGCCTTCTTGTATACAAGAGCCAGACTCCATGTCTCATAGTCAGGCGTGGGGAAGGAGGCCCTATGAGCAATCCTGGCCTTGCGGCTTGCGGGCTTTGCTGCGGTACCGTATACTTGGGTTTAGGGCTTCACTCCCCCATGCCGAGGTCCCGAATTCGGGACCATTGATTGTAGCACTTTTGGCAGGCAACTGCCATGTAGAAGCAGAAGTGAAGCAGATATCTGACTGCTTGAAAACGCAGCCCAGCGTTCGTGATACCGAAGCGACAAACAGAGAGACCGCAAGCATGAGTCAATTGACTGGTGACCGCTGAAAAGTTCGTGGCTTTGGCATTCCATCGCCTATCCATGGGCTAGTTCTGAAGCTATGGAAGCAGCGGTCGGCAGATATGGCGAAGAGCGCATAATCGTAGTAATGATGGATCAGCAGCTCAGAAACGGCTTTTTTTTCGTCTAAGGACGTTGCACCGGCTGCAGTCTACAGCGGCCTATGCTGCCAGGCGAAGTCCACCGCTGTTGTGGGGTTTTCCGCTTCTGGTGCACGCCGACATGCATGTGCTGAAGGATGTGAAGGTTACCCTGGTGCTGTTTTTGAAACCTTTCCTGCAGAAGCTCGACAGCCGCTGTTGCTTCAGCGTATGCCTTATGATGGGTATCAAAATCCCTGAGGCAGCTCGAGGCGTCAATGCGGCGGCTTCTGGCCAATCAGCCCCAGGCGCGATTTACAAAGCAGTCATCCGTTTGCACTATTCTGGAGTGGCACTTCAAAGCATTCGGAGTACGTTGCAGTCAAGAGTCTACATCATGCGCCACCCTGAAGAGCATGTACCCGTAGATGCAGCTCCGAGTGTACCTGACCATCTGGCAAGGCTTCCTCCCCGGAGCAGGCCTGACCGCAGGGCCAGTAGCTGTAGCTTCAGGTTGTCGGCAGCGAAGTACAGACTTGAATGGGGGCTGGCGGCTTTCCCGCTTTCAAGCGACTGACCGTATCAGACGCTTGTTTGGATGGTTGATGGGCGTTCTTTCCAACCCGGTCAGCTTGGATCCAACATTAGGAACGAACACAGCCAAACAAAGCAAGCAAGCCAGCAAGCAAGCAAACAACCAACCCACCAACGAACAACCACACACACACACACCCACACACACCCACACACACACAAAAAAAAATAAGCATGCACACACACACACACACACACACACACACACACACACACACACACACACACACACACACACACACACACACACACACACACACACACACACACACACACACACACACACACACACACACCCACACACACACACACACACACACACACCCCCACACACACACACACACACACACACACACACACACACACACACACACACACACACACACACACACACACACACACACACACACACACACACACACACACACACACACACACACACACACACCACACACACACACACACACACACACACACACACACACACACACACACACACACACACACACACACACACACACACACACACACACACACACACACTCGCGCACTCAGACACTCACACTCACATCCTCGCACACACACATTCACACACACACACACACACCAACACACACACCAACACACACACCAACACACACACCAACACACCAACACACACACACACACACACCACACACCACACACCACACACACACACACACCACACACACCACACACCGCACACTGCACACACCACACACACCACACACACACACACACACACACACACACACACACACACACACACACACACACACACACACACACACACACACACACACACACACACACACACTCTCCATGACACACACTCTCCATGACACACATCTGCCAAAACGCCGAAACCACAACACACCACACCCATTCACTAAACACACACAGACACCACTGCAAGGCCTTGCCACCCTTACCCACACACTGACACTTTCCTTGCACACTGAGAAAGACATGCACCCGCAAACCTTTGCAACCACAAATGCTCACACACACACATCCACAACACTCTTGCACATGCACACTCAGAAAAACAGCCGAAACCACAAAATGCACATTCTTATGTCTTCAAGTTCCGATTGCAATTTTTTCATTGTCTTTCTGGTCAATCGACAGCTTACCGGGCACTCACCAGAACACTTGCTGAACGATCTGTTTGTGTTTTGGTTTAGGGTTTCTTGAAACTCTCAAACAAGTGTTTTTAAAAGCCTCTGACAGTGCCGTTTGGACGGAAATCAACTGCAGGGTTAACTGATCAAGTGTTGATTTTGAGGTTTTTTTCAACATTTTCGGAAATTCAGAAATTTTGAAAATTCGTTGAATGGTGCTGAATCCAGGGAAGAATTGCAACACGCAACCAAAACGAAAGACAAAGAATTGAGGGCACCCAGTCTGAAAGAAAGCAGAGTTTCTTCTGCTCAATCTGCTGTCAAATATTCAGTGTGCCTTGAATGTCTGTTTGGCCATTTTGGAAAAGAGAACGCAATCGAAGCTTTTGTCAAAAAAAGTCGAATGGAAATCGAGGCTGGCGACTCTCAAGTCGTTCTGGCCATGATGAGAGGTCAGCGTGATTGTTTTTTTTCAATGTTAGCAAGAACTGCAAAAACATTGGTTTTTCTTTTTGTACTTTGGAGAAATCGAGATAAAGAAGCCAGAAGTCGTGAAACTGAAACAATTTTCTTCAGATTCAGCAGCAGATTCACACACAGCAACACTTCTTTTTTCAATTCAAATTGCCTTCGCCCATCTGAACAGAATTTTTCTCTTGCTCCTTTATTCAATGTTTTCTTTGTTTGGTCGAACGTCATCTGCCCAAGAGGATGGCCTCTCACGATCTTTTGCAACTCGATTCTGTCTGAATGTCGTATCATTGTCGGGATAATCTCTCGGTTCAGTTGCAAGCTTCAAAGAGATTGATCGAAAAGGTCGGGAAGCTCCAGTGACCTTCAAAACCCAACTCCAGAGAGATCTGCCGAAAGGGCAGGCGTGCCGTGCGGCAACCAAGAAGATTACAAAACAAGCGAAGGCTGGCAAGTTTTCCCTGTAGGGTTTTGGGATCTCTCCTGCAGTGTCCGAGAGGGACGTTGTACGACCGACAGGCCCAAGCGCACCTGAAAAGTGGCGCAAGGAGGTTCCAGCACTGCTTCGCCGCTCTGCTCTATGCGGATTGCACAGCCCGCCGGAACCCAATATCCCATGGGTTGACCACCTTTTCTAATTGTGAATGGGTGTGGTGTGTGGTTTCGGCGTTTTGGCAATGTGTGTTCTGGAGTGGTGTGTGTGTGTGTCATGTTGCAAAGTTGCTTTGTGGGTGGTGTGCGTTTGCGTGCATTCTGCTGGCTGTGGAAGTGTGCGGGTGGTGAAAGGTGTGTAGATTTGGACACAAAAAAAGAGAGCAAGAAATCCACCCCCAAAGAAAAGTCGAAGTGACCTCCACAGTGCTAGAGGATCGCACGTGAACAAACAAGGCATGCCAGCTACAGACAAGTTGAGCAGCCAAAAACACGCGTATCGACAGCATTTTTTTGTTTTCTTGAGTGTTGATGCAAACAGTCTCGAATAGAAAAAATCTTGTTTGTCTGTGAGTTGATTTCAATTATTGTTGAACTAAAATGGGTTCCAAAAGCAGCTCAATTCTGGGCACCAAAAAACGGGCCTCGATTTTGGATTTCCTGTGTGAACATACAAGGCCACCAGGTTGGAGCCTCAAATTGGAACTAAGTTTAGGAGCCATTTTTGGGTCCAGTTGCGGCTTTTTTCACACACGGAAGCCAGATCTGGCTTTCACAGCTCCTCGTTGCGAGTGAAACAAATCAGCCTCTCAGTCGCACTGTGAGGGGTAAGTGAATCCTTGACTTGCTTTGTGCGTTCGAGACACCCTATTGGAAAGAACTTGCTTTTTTTCTTGGAAACCTGATAGACTTCAGCTTCATACGAAGAAAGTGCCCACAAATTTGCGCTGCTGTCGCAAAGACTTTTGCCAAGGCCATCTTCAGCAGACCACGCCCGCAGAGGCTCCCAAGACAGGTTTTAAAAATGTTGCCATTAACGACTTGCTTGTTAGTGCGGTGGCCGGGACTACGAATTTTCCAAGCTGGCTGGATCCTCTTGGATGATGCACCTAATCGACTTCTGAATACTGTCTTGTCTTGCTTTTACTGTTGCTCCTAATGCACAAACATCGCAACAATGGACTCCCAGTGGCAATCTGTGTCACCTGCAGGCTTATGACGGGTATCTACAAAGCGCCGACGCGTTCCTTCTTCACACTTCCACGCACTGGCAAGTTGAAGCTGGCTTTTTGCCTTAGCGTGGGGCGGCTTGCTTCGGATAGGTGAGGCAACGGGATCACTGCGCGCCTCTCCAGACGCAGAAGGAAAGGTCGACCAGAAGGATTTGGTAAAATGCATTGACATGGCCTTTGTATCACTTCCAGCATCCTCACGTTTATGGTCGATGTTGTCGCAAACTTTAAGGCGCAGATTCGATTCCATCCTTGACAGGCTGGGCGTACCGACGGAAGGAATCACGCAAGGCCTTTGGACCTTGGATCGTTTAAGCCCGGCGGAGCTACGCACCAGCTCCAGGTCTCGGGGATGCTGAGCTGGTGAGAAGGCGTGGGAGATATGTCCCACAGGGTCATGGAGGTTCACCTCCAGGAAGTGATGTCGTCAGTATTTTATCCAAGTCTTCCAATCCACGTCAGGGAGAATGTCAACCACGTCAGGGAGAATGTCATGGAGGCTGCAGTGTCTTTTCCAGCTGTCTTGGAACAATCCGTACAGTGGACCCGGCAAAAGATCCCCACCGAAGTATGGTATTCCCTTTGGTGCTGTTAAGGTTTCCACTTGCAATGGAGATGATGGGAGATGTGGGAGTTTCTTTCTTGCTGGCATTCCCTGGGCTCGACTTTTGAATGTTTGAGCCTGGGTGCTGGATGTCATATGCCCAGCTGGCAGTGCTAGAGCAAGTGGATAGACTCAAACGCAAGGGTATGAGTGAAAGAAGGTGCGAGCCTTTGAAATACAGCCGGTGTTCTTACAGCTTCGAGCAAAACATCCCGAACACAAGCCGAAGAGACGTAGCACGAAGAAGCGCAAGGTGGATCAGAACATCCCAGAAAGAGTGAAAGGATATCTGTTCACCTGTGGGAAAAGCTGCTGTGTGCTGCTTCTTTGGGTTGGCCTTCTTACTCTGCTCGGAAGCCATGCCATGACTACGGTGACAATAATCTTGTAAAACAACTTGAGCCAGTATGCGCATGGAAAGCCTGCATGCACGGAAAAACAGCATTCATGCTGCACTTGTTGCACAGGCAGTGTCGGGCCCTTCCTCCCTCCCTGCATCCCTGTGTCACGAAGCAATATTTAGATTTACTTCCTTCTGTTCGCCCCACAATAAGAAGAATAAGCGTTTATATTATGGACAATAAGCGTTTATGTTTTATACAATAAGCGTTTATGTTAAAGCCCCTTGAAAAAGGTGTACACGTTTATCAGAATAGACGTTAATTTTTAAGAGACTATTGGAAGATCAAAGTGATCTTTCGACGACATACCGGCTCTCCCGTTTCAACGCCAGGCAATTTGAATGCGCGCGCGTGGCTTAGCGACAGCTCGAATGCAGCCGTGTTTTGATATGAAGATATACACGATATGTGTGCAAAGAGAATGAAGTCCACGAGCGCGCGCAGGAAACGTAGCAGTTGTGTCACAAGACCACGACGGACAGCCGAGGCTGTATGGCCGGCGGAATCTTTGCGCGCAAAAAGATATCTGTGTGTGCACGCGCAGCAAGCTATAGTTTTTAGCCCTTGCTTTTGCCACCGCTTTCTTGCCGTAAAGATGGGC